TACATTCCAGAGAACTCTGGAAAGTAGACAAATTCTTATTGGGAACTCTGCATAATTTAGCTCGAAGAGACCTCCTTAACGTTTATTTAATAAATCCAAACCGTGGGACAAGACTTATTTGCATGCACATATCCATTTCTAATTTTGCTGCCTCACCTTTTAGGCTTTTTTTAAATGATTTAATAATTTAAATGATTTTTAACCGAGTTAAATTTTGATTATGCAGGGACAGACATGTCTTTAAACCATCTTAGGTAATCTCCAGAAAACGACCAGAATTTCACTACACTAGAAACTTAGTTCTGATTAGAAATATATCATGGAAATATTCTCATATCTTCAGGAATAGATGTAGGAAGGAGTTTGTCTTCATATTGTATGGAAAAGGCACAGAATATAAAAAGAATATAAAATTTTATCATATCTTGCATGCAGGCGTAAATCTGTCCAAAAATCTTGGTAATCTGCTTAATCCGGCGATTTATCTGTGTCTCTATTGCCAAGATAATACTCTTCTTGGCATATTGTCGGTTCGACAGGCCAGTTGAGTGAGTATAACCAGCAATGGTCTTTAAAAAAATTATCTCTTTATAAAAATAACGTAAGAAAGTTTAAATATATTTTCTAGATAATTTTTTTATAAATATTTGGGCAAACTTTACAAACAAAGGATAGCTACAAATAATTGTTGATAATAATTATTATTAATAATTATAATAATTATTATTCTATAAAATTCTTATAAGCAGTAATGGTAAATTTTGAGGGATAATATAGGATAGAACGAAGCTTAGGTACCATAATACATTAACTTCAAGTACCATGGTGGGATTGAGCTAAGAGTCTTATGGCATTAATATAATGTAAAGAAGTTTAAGTCGATTATTGTCTAATTCTGCTTAACGGAGATTGGGAAGATTTTTGACAGAATTCCGCAGATTCTGGGTAATATTAATATTTTTTTTATTTTTGGGGCAGAAAATATATTTTTCCCTGACACATTCATTAAAACTGTAAAATGATTGTTAACTTATCCCATATTTTTGAAGTAAAATAATGATTAATTTTTCATATCTATTTTTTCTTGATTCTAATTTTTTCTTTGAATTTGTCAAAATTTATATTAATTCGTGATATTATAATACGACAGTTCAGAAACAATTTTTTGGCCTAATTTTTAGACTGAATGGCTAATGATAATGATAATGAATTTGAGCCTAGGCTTTAGGATTGTTTGACACCAATGCTTTTACTTAATAATGCGAAAATATCTCTGAGTCAGATAATAAACAAATTATTATTTTCAAAAAATGACACATGTAAAATAAATTGTGCTTGGTAATTTTTGTTGATATTTTGTTTTCCACGCCTTTGCAAAAATTTTTTTACATAAAAGAAGCGCCAGAAGGACAAATGTTTCGCTTTGTTGGCCTCATCTTATGGCCTCATACCCTTCGGCACTTCGTTTCTTTTTTCGCTTTTACTTTGCTCGAGTTGCATTACCATAGAAATATTTTTTTTTACTTCTTCAAATTTTGCCTTAAACAGTGCAAATGAGATTATTTTAAAGATGAATAAAAAAATAAAACTATAGAATTAAAGCTGTGATATTGCATTATTAAAGTTAATAAGTCCCCATATGTTCGGTTCGCCCCTCATGACTGAACGCGTTTAAATCCGCACGATAGTGGTGAAATCCATCTGTTCTTCTTTCCCCAGTTAACTTCTGACGAAACGAGATTCTAACTTAGCCAGCCAAACCGGAAATGGTAAGTGCTGTTAGAGGAATGAAACAGAAGTAACAGTGAAGAAAAAGAAGAGAAAATTGAAATAAAATGTCTTTCGTACTCGTATTTATTATATTTTGATAAATTTATTTGATTTAATACATTCCACGCGATTTATAGAAATCCTATAAATCCAAAGGCCAATTTACGAGAAATTTATGGCTGAATTTCGTATTTTATCGACAACCCAATTAAGCTGATTTCGATTGTTATTTTAATAACAGCGGACATTTTCAATTGAAATACTATTAAATGGCAAAGTTACTTAGATAAATTGAAAATAGCAATAAATGTGACAAAGGCGAGGGCGACTTTCTTCTTTCTGTTCTTTTGCGGATGGAGACAAACGATGGTTGTCGAGACAACACGGTATTATTGTATTTCATCGAAATAACTTTTATTTAATTGCTAGGATAAATTTAAATTCCTATTTCATATTATGAATATTTATATAATTAATGTATAATCGGGTGGTTTTGAAGTGCAGACGACAAAAACATACGGATGGATCTGTCCGCAATCCATATTGATTGATTGATAGGTCAAATGTACAATTCAATTGATTCTATCGATATTTATCTCTAAATCAGCACGAACTTTCAATCTTGTCAATCTTGTCACTCTATCACCAATATTTTATCATTCCGGATGAGATTGGCTTGTTTTGGCGTGAAGATTTTGAGTAAATGTTCAACATTCAAATAAAAAAAACCCGAAGTATCGTGTTACTCTCAAAATATTTCTGGTAATAAATTCTTCTCCCCTGCCATTTCTTGTTTTGCATTACCTGACTTTCGTTCTAGCCATTCTTGCTTATTTTTATTTCTATATTATTTCAAGAAATAAGAAATAATTAAGGCGTAAATCTTAAATTTGAAAAATTTATTTGTTTTCCATTCATTCACCATTATGAGATAGCGAAGATAGCGATTTACAAATCAGTTTTTTGTGAACACCAAACTTACGAATTTGAAAATTTTTATCATGGAATTTAGCAAAAAAAACTGATTGCCTTAACATATACCTATGATCAGCCAAGTGGTTGCAAGCTTAATTAGCCTTAGGCAATAAAGCTGCTGTTTTGTGTCCGACCTAAGTAAATTGTCATTAAGAGCTCTAGATGTTGCCAGCCGTACCTCTGCGGCAAAAATTTTTCTTTATATTGGTCCAATTCGCCTGTGCTAAACTAGAAAAACTCGAATTAATTTTACTCTCCTGACAATCTCCTGATAATCAGCTTTTTTTCTTCAGGTCTACAATTGTTTTAAAATTTTTTATTTTTTTCTTAATTTTTTATTTTCGATTGATCAATCGTATTAATAAGAATCAAAAAATAAGTTATATTGTATTCTTTTATATTATTGTTCAATAATTATTATATCAATTCAATCGTTAGCTGATAAAAAATGCCCAAAGCGTTACAAATGAATTCCATATAAAGAATGGTATTTGCTGAGAAATCGCTTAAAAAATCATGTCTTAAATCTCTTAGATATTTTAAGGACATTTTTGAAAATTTGGTCTTTTTAAATTTGTTTTTGTTTTTTTAAATCTCCTTGAGAAATAAGGATTAACATTTGTCAGTTATCGTTTTAAATTATTTTATAATTATTTTATAAAACAAATATATTTTATTATTATTATTGACATGAAAATAATTCATCGATTAGGTATTAGGTATATGCACCATCGGTTTTTGTTATTACTGTTATAAATTATTTTAATAGCTAAAGTAATAAATCTTAATAAGCCTTGATGTAGGACAGCAAAAAATAAATGAAAAGCACGAATGATTGATGATAAGTTACGAATGCAATAGCCATTTATAATCGAATAGGAGCATTGGCTCGACTGAGGTTCAGATCACTTCAAACGGGTACTTTGGAAGGACATTTCACCTCACCGGTTATCGGATTTCTTTCTGCAATGTATAATCAATTAAAAGACGTAAAGAAGAAGATTCAAAGACCGAATAAGATGACGCTATTTTGATATTATTGTCAATATTTCATCTGATTCCATTTCTCGTTTGTTATAAATGTGGCTAATAAATTGCGCCTCTCCGGAATTATCAGCGATGGCCTTGAACTTCTAATTGAAGGTATTTCGAGTCCGAATCAGAATTTTGGAGCATTGCTATTACTTTTCATCGGTTTTATTATTATGATCTAAGTTATTCTATGAAGATCTATCCACTAAAGAATTCTATTTTACGAAAACCACTTAAGAAGAATTCAGTTCAAAATTTAAGAATTTAAGAAAGCGCAGCAGCAAGAATTCCCTCAGTCAGTTAAATTTTCATCCTCAATTTCTGGCTTAGCTGGATGGATCCACTGGCGCTTACTGGTAAAAAATAAGCAAAAATAAGCAGTAAACGTTCAACTTTCTAGTCAGATGAGCTCGTCAGACCGGCTATGCAATTAGAAGTTTTTGCGAGGGATGTCAGTTTACCACTCGGATTTGACAGTCCTGCCGGAAATGGAAGTCGACTAGTAAACAATGAATGAATCAGTTTGTACATATAATGGAGCATAATTAAAACAGAAAAAATTTCTCGCTTTTAAATATTGCATGATTGCGAGAAATGAAAAGTTATCTTATTTCTTTAGCATTGACTCAGTCAAAAATTGACCAATACAAATTTATTTAATGCCTTCCATTTTCAATTGTAAATATAGCAAGCGAATTGAGTAGAATCCTCAGTCTTCTTATCAGCTTTAGCTAGTAATTAAGAATATAAACGAATTGCCCTTCATCGGAACCGATTCGACTGATCTAAGATTTTGGCCTCTAGCAAGGATCTTTAAAATAGTACAGTGGAAAAAATTTATAAAAGAGAAGGCACAAGCAAAGACCAATTTTCAAGATCTATCCGCAATCACCAACTTATCCTGGTTCATTCGTTAAAAGGAATAAAGAGATTTTCTATGCTCAGCCAACCAATAGTTATATCGTATGCAGGTAAGCACATAGCTAGTTGTTGTCTATTTATACTGCTTTCAACTGAGTATCTCATCGTGGCTGGAGGCTATTTACATTTTCAAAAGTGCCATAAAATTTCAGATGCTCCTTAGATTTACCAATAATCCCCATAGTAGATATTTGTAGAAATAATTTACAAAAGCATCGGTAATCGTTTAATTCCTGTAGATAAATCCTTAAGCTTGTCACCTTCATTTCTTTCAATTTTTGCATCCTCAAATGCCGATAAAATCACGCATGAGTTTGGCTGCGAAATATATTTTGGAACAGCGCTAATAAAAAAATAAGAAATGCCTCACCGAGTATAGGGATTGTCTTTTTTGGTGTTCTAGTCGGTGACTCGGGAACTGAATTATCAAAAATTGATGATTTGAATGTGTTGGAAACTTTCGATGGTGTAGTTGGTTGTTTTGGCTGTTCACCGAAAAGCCGTTCGCGCGTGTTCGCCGTTTGGCCATTAGCTGCCGCTTTCTGTCAATTAATTATTAATCATAATGATCAAAAAAATAGCTTTATCTTTTTTGGTGAAAAGTATCAATATTTTCTTTAAGCACTGTTGAAACCGAATGAATCAATAAAGTAAGAAACTAATGAAAGCTAAGGATTAAGAAAGTTCACCCAAGGGAATCACATCGATTTATCCTATTTTGTTCTGAAATTGGTCATATCTCCCAGTTTTATTCGCCTCTCTTAAAGATTATAAGATTACTACGAGTTATCATAAGCCAATATAACGAAACTCTCTATTGCTCTAGCGGCACCAACACTAAGACAACAGAATGATTCTTTCTTAACTTTCGGTTGAACTTACTAGTTATAATCATTGTATAGCGAGAAATTTATGCTTGGAGCTCACTCGGCGGTCGGTGGGTTGTCAACTCTACCCGGATGGGTTTTTAATGAGTTTATTCCTGTTGGAGGCAAGGCGTGGGCCTTTGATTCTCAAGACAATGATTAATAAGCACTCTGCCCTTTCAGTTAGACAAATTGGGCTAACCTAACTATCTCGTATGCAAACTAAAATTAGAAATGATTCCAAAAGATGAATTGATAGAATTTAATTTTTGCCAAAATACTGGAAAATATTCAGTAAAAATTTCAGACTGTTTCGATAAAAACAATATTTCGATAATCATCATTTGTCACATTTTCGACATCAAAAGCATAATCTCAAGCCAAAAAATCAATTTATTCCATGCAAAATTATACAATGATATAAAGATTATGAACTTTAGTAAAGCCGTCTAGCGATATTCAAATTATTCTTCATTTGGAGTATGATATGGAAGCACTGAGGGATAGAATGGCCCATGCTATTCTGATTTTGGAGCGACAATGCTGTAAATCGAGCCTGGAAGCAAATCCATCTTTCAAAAATCCGCAAAGTGACTCCATGGCAAAAACGCTCCGACAAGCCAGTGGAAAAAAAAGTACGGAAATATCCAAGTGATTTGATAAAATATTTCAACAAGAATTTATCTCTCAAATATGTGTCGATTATCATTCACTCCAACCCAAGTTTTGCTAATTTATAGATTTATATTTGCTAATTTATACTAAAGTTTTGTGAATATACAATATATATTCAGTACGTTACGTTCTATTGGAAGAAATTTCCTATGAATTATTTTTTTATGAAATTATTCAAATATATTTAAATGCACAGTGGGTAAAAACTTGATCAAGCTTATCAAGTTTTAGAATGCTCGAGAATTTATAAAAATATTTCATCGAACATAGAACTTTAAAACGCGATTATTCATTATCTGCGGAACTGTCTACAATTTCCCATCAGGCAATGGGAAACTTTTTTCCCATTCGGAGCAATTTTCTCGTATTTTCGATTAAAGAATCGAAAAAATTGGCTAATTTAGCTTATTGGCTTGGCTTGTTAGCTAATCTCCGATAGATAGGTTGCTATTGCCTATCAAGAAAAGATGATTCAACTGAATTGAAGCCACCATAGTCAATTACACCGATAATTTGTTTTCAATAATTTATCCTTGTCTGAACATTTTTATTTTCAATATTTGCAATCCTACTTTTAATTTCAAAAAAGTCAGTCCTTGAAATAGCTGTTTATGATAGTAATTTTTTTATGTTCGAATTTTTTTTAGAAATCTAAGATAATTTCTTAAATAATCCAATAATTTTTCTCCAGAACCAGTAAATGATACGAATAATTTTATATTTCCGTTAATTTTATAGATGAAAACATTTATTATCCATGAAATTGCTTGTTTGGCAAATTTGGCTATTAATTTAATAACTATGCGAACAATGCTTTTTTAGCGAATCTTCTTATTTTGAAAAGGAGGAAGAAGATTAAGGATGAAAAGTTTTAAATTTTAAAATATAATATGCATAAAGAATATATTTATGAATCCCACTGTTAAATTAATTCCATTTTAATGCCATCTGAAAAATTTCAAACTCTTCGAAGCTTTCCAGAAGAATTTATCTCAGGTCAAGAATTTGAATTTGAATTATCAACATACCAACATAGATCTTTATTGATTAAGACAATAATATTTAATCTATCCATTAAGTAAAGAAGGGTTCTTTCATGAATTCCATATGAGATGACCTGATTTATAAGTTCTTAATTGTTAGGATGAAAGAAAAGTCGAATACCTCGATAAATTTACGAAATTTGGGAGGACCAAAATCTCGTCAAAACATTTATCTGATTAGAGTTTCAATCGCTTTTAGGAAATTTTAGAAAACCATTTCCTTTTTGTCATCCAAAAATTTTTGATTCCAAAGGCGAGGAAAAAACTATTCTAGATTATTCAGAATAAACTATGAAGTATGTATAATTTGTCTTCTTATAAAAACATTCGATAACAATTCCTAATGAAATTTTATCCTGAAAACAAGACCATTGGATTACGCTTTCGTTATGAGGCGAAAAATTTTATTGTTGCTGCGAATCGTTCGTTGGTGATGAAAAGAATGAACTAAATAACAAATGTAAATATTCGATTGCAAAACGAGATAAAATATAAATATAAAGGATAGAAGGAAGAAAGCAGAACATAATAGCTAAATTGAAAGAATTTTAAAGTTATTAAAATATCGTAAAAAGATATAAGTGGTTTATGTCTAGGAAGGGGACTTTTTTGCCATTTCTGGTATGGTTGGTTCCACTGACTTTTATATCCGCTAGAAAATCACTTGAAGATTGAAGCGCAGGTGACCCACCAGCATCACTCGTCTCTCTATATAATAACTTGCATATGCCTACTTGATTTACTTGCTAATGCAAAGTAAGTCAATTCTATTATAAGTGCAAACAAAAATTGAGAGAAAACTTTCAAAAATCGGGATTTAAATTTAACTTTCGGAATTTGAAATTATAAAGGTGAAAGGTGAAAATAGCAAAACTAAAATGCCTAAATTTTTATGAATTAAAAAAACGAAATTACTTTTTGATAAAAAAAATTTTTTTTCAGAACTTTATTTCCACTGATTGGTTTACCAAATTGGTATTTTCCTTTGCTAAATTTATTCATTCACTCTCCGACCGATATTTGCATTTCAACAACTTTCTTTTTAACATTCCGTTTATAAATCTTTTGATTCTTTACTTTAATGATAAAAATCATAAATCATAAATTTGATAAGTTTCTCGTTAAATATAAAATATAGAAGTATTCATAAAAACGTCGTTCTTATAGAAATAATAAATCGCTTCGAGAAAATTAAACCATACGAAGAATTGGAATTTGTTTTTACAAGGATTTATAATTTGAAAATAGGCTATTTGTAATAATTATAATTAAAGTTTATAAGTAATCCAAATAGTTGCATTTTTTCCTTTTCTTCTAGCAGCACTCGCCGAATTCTGATCTGATTCGCGACTGCCACGAAGATGAGATCCTTTCGTGAGATAACCGCTCACAGACAGAGATTCATCTCATCAGAAAATCGAACCCATGATGCGCACTTGAAGAAATTTACTCATACAGTCGAAGCAATTTATAAGATGAAATTTAAACTTGAATTTTTGTTTTCAAAGGAAATATTGATATATTTTATATTATATTTTTATTATTTTATTTATTTTTATTTTATTAAATTATTTTATATTTTTTTCAAATTAAATATTGATATTTCTTTCAGTCGAATTGATATTTTCTTTTTTATATTATTTTTTCTTCAGATTTTCATAGCCCATTTTGCTTTTCTCCCTTTTTTCCAAATTTTCAAACAAATTTCGAATTATATAAATTGGTTTCCATGGGGATTTGTCTTTTCAATATATATTTTCAATCTATTCAATATCTGATAATACTTTCAATTTTAAAAAATCTCAAATAAAAAAAAGAAAAAAACTTAACTTATTTAAAAAATGAGTTAAAAAATTCTTTGATTTTGAAAATCACTTATGCAAAATTCAGGAAAATTCTATCGATTTTCCTCGTCTAGAAAATTTAGCGATTCCATTAATGGATGTTATCAAATTGCTTGCTTTATATACATTGAAATTATATAAATGCGAAAAAACGAAATCGAGTGAATCTACACGAAGAGAATGAAAAAGCATTGAAGGACCATCAAAGTTATGCTAATTTAATCAAAAAAAGACAATAAAAGAATTCTCTGATGGGGAAATATTTTTTTAAAAGAAATTTTATAATTTTATAATTTAGGCAAATTTAAGATTTTAAAAAAAGATTAAATGGGTTGACTGTCTCATTCTTATTGAAAAAAATATATAAGCCTGAATCAAAAAAATGAATTTCACTAATTAAAGAAATGTCTTAATGAAAAATAGTTAATTAATCGAATTATTTTAAGCACTTAAGAATCTTAATTAATTTGACTTAAATATTTCTTTAAAAATGAAAAAATGAAATGAATTAGAAATTATTCAAAAATTGGCGAAGAAATATACATCCTCTAACAGCATTCATCACTTTCACTTTAAGTTCGCCTAGCTCAACTGGCTATTGGAACTAAACTAGATCTCTTCGCTGGAATCACTTGGAGAGAAAAGAAAAGTATTTAGCAGCTCATAAATACTTAGTTATTTAATACGTAGCATCATAACAGGTTTACTCCACTCAAATCGAACCTCGGCAAAATTAATGATATCTCAGTACCAATCGAAGCAATCGAATATTCCGTCTCTTGAAAACTCGATTTTTCAAGCAAACAAATAATTTAGAATTTCTTAAATTAAATTAGACGGATTAAATATAATAATAATTAAATAAAATATTTAAGTTGTAATAACGAATGTAAAAATAAAAGATGCATGACTGACAGCTGGAGATGTGTTTCGATCAGCAGCACCATTTGCAATCGTTCCGTTCTCGTTTGACATTTCCGTCGTCGTCGTTATCGTTATCGTCGACCTTCTTTGGTCACTTCTAAATGAAATGCAAACCAACAACGCTCGTCGAAAAGAATCCGAAAGTGGGCGGACTCCTTTCTCGTTATAGGCGTGACAAAGCTTATAAAAGATATAAAAGTTGGATGATCGTGCACCGTGCACCATAGTCAATACGAAATTGTTTCAAGGGCATCACTATTGCTACATAAAATGTGTATTACATCTTAAAAAAAGCAAAGGAGTTTAAAAATTCTGGAAAATAGAAATATTCGAAAAATTTAACTAATCGTTCAACTAGATTTTTCCCATCTTTTCGTATTTAAAAGTTTTTGGTGAATTTTATAAAATTATTTCTTATTTCAAAAAATCACGAATTAGAAATTCATTTCTTTAAATGTGAAAAATATTTTTTCGTATTAAAATTCAAATTTTCATTTATAATTTAATTTACGATTATTCTTATTTATTAGAAATACCAAGCAGGAAGTATGCTTTCCAGCTTTGCTAAGGATGCTACTTTATTTTGACTGAGCTCAACCTGTTTCATTACAGGTTCGGACGCTGCTCCTTGACGGGATTAAAAAAGAAATTTTTTTAAACTTACAAGCCAAACCATTATTAAAAGGGTGCTATTGGGCAACGACTTCTACTTCTATTCCCAAGTTTCTGCATATTCTATAGTGGAATAATTATGGTCACTAATAAAGCCAGCCAAATCAGATATATCAAATCTACCGCTATAATTTTCTATGAAATATTTCCCATAAAATAAAAATGAAATATATTTGTTTTAACGGTTAATGAAAGATTTCGGCGTATAATGTAATAAATTTCGTTCGTATTTAAGCTTAAATATTGAGTACATATTTCCAAATGGTTTTATTTCGTGAAAATTTCACTGCGCAAGAATAACGATTGGTTCATTGCAATGTTCAAGCATTAAATGAACCCACAAATATATAGCTAATACCAATAGAATCCACTGGCAATAGGAAAAGAGGCGATAAATATAAAAAAGTGAAATACACCCTTGTGAGAAAAGTAAAACGTAAAGGTAATTTAGTTAAAGGTAATTTTCGCATAAAATTTATGCCAAGCATGACCGAAAAGCGATTTAAGCATGATACGGCCCAGATCATCTAATAATTTTTGTTGCTATTTCGTTGCTTAAAATAATGAGAGAATTTCCTCATTTCCTCTTTCAGCATCTAATCCACAAGAATCTTATCTACGAATTAAAAATGCAAGTGACCCTACAGGACACTACAGGCCTGTAACACTTTCATTATGATTAATGAAAGTGACCAACAAGATAATTTAACTATAATTATTTATTTAAAGCTCAGAGATTTCAATAAAAGTTTTTATTTAATTTAACATTTGATGTTTAATTAGATGCTTCTTCATATCGACATGATTTTCCACACAACAATTTTTATTCCCACAGGTTTATACGTTATGCGAATAAAAAAATTATAATATTTGCATTTTTTTCTAAATTAGATTCTTTAATATTGAAAAAAGGCAATATCACAAAGATTTTTAAAAATGATAGATGACAAATTTAAACTAATGAAAATTAGCCAACGAATCGAGACAAAACTCAGTTCACAGTCTAATAACAGAAAGTGAAAGAATATAAAATTTGAAAAATACGAGTAAATTCATTAATTCAGTGATTTAAAGTATCAGGATCTTCCCCTATTGTTAAGCTTTAGTTGACATTCAAAAGTCCTTGGATCTGGTCGGTAAGGATGACAACAACAACGACATACATCACCGTTCGATCTGAAAATAACATTCAGGTAAAATATTTCGACTAAAAGCCTTTGATTATAACCTAATTTTTGATTTTAAAAGCTTTTCGATTAATTAGTTCCATATGTTCAATAATTTAATCTGAGATCCTCCATCGGCTGGTACAAGTTGGTTAAAAGTACAAATTAAAAGAGAAAAAAATTCACAACTGCCTCCGCTTAACTATTAAATCCCCATTGTCACCAATGAATATAAAGCAATATATAACAAGATTCTCGTTTAAAGAAAAAATTATAGAATAAAACAAGAGAAAAACAAGGAATTTTTCCCAACTTTTCCCAATAATTTGTCATATTTTCCATGGGAAAAAAAGAATATCTAATCGTTCTTCGATAATCAACGAAAAAATCACAACCAGCAAATGGCATTACAATTCAGATTTTCGAAAAGAAAAAAAACCAAATCGGAAGTTAGTAGAGTTTTTCGAAAAGAATTCGTTTTGCCGGAATCGCTCGTCACATTATCGTATGGTTCATTAATTTAAACTGCTGAATTGATAGTCAAAAAAATTTGTCGCAAAAAAATATTAAAGGACGAAGAAAACAAATTAAAAAATTCAGAATATCAAAGAAAATCCTAGAATTTCGCCAGAATTCTTTTTTAGATTTTTGCTCCGGGAAAAGAAAAATTTGGAATTTCAGAATTTTGAAAAAAATCCTACAATTTTAAGAGTTCGGGAAAGATTAAAACATTAAACAAGATGGAGAAAAAATAAAGGTTATGAGAAAAATCATTACTATTATAATTTATAAAATTATAAGCCAATTCGGAAAACAATTCTTTTTTTTCGGAAATATTCTCCCATTGATTCATCTGACAATTTGGAGATCTAACGATAAAGAATGCAAATAAAATATGCGTATTTTTTAAAAATATGAAAAGTATTTGTTTCGATTTGCATCGAATCATCGAACTTTACATTTATATAAATTTTCTCGTTATACATTCCTTTTTTTAAAAAAAATCCATATTATATTTTACGAACACATAAGCACTTGACAGCACTTATCATTTCTCATTTGTTAGCTCCAATGGTTACTAGAAAGATTTTGTCAGAAAGTCGCCACTTGCAGATAGATTTGATTTCCGGATGGATCCTCAAGCTTTGTATAACTTTTTAAAAGAATAATTTTTTAAAACCAGAAAGAAGCAAAATTTTCCCAATAAATTTAATATTAATAATGAACGAATTTCGTCTCATAAAAAGAATAATGGAGCAAATGGATCTATCTTTCCGCTCGTCGATGAAAATTTAAGTAAAATGTATAATTGGATTTCTTGAAGCCATTTACTGAGAAATTGTCCGAACTGGAAGAAATTAAAACCTTTTTTCTGGCACACAACTGAGATAATCAAGTTTGTTAATCAGTTCCATCATTGAATCGGTTATATTCGGCAATGCAATCTCATGATTTGGCCAATGCTTACAATCGTCCACGTAATTTGAAACACAAGCTTTAGTTTGTGAAATCCCCTTACAAGGACGTTCAGCAACAAAGAGTGGATTTATGAGATCAATACTACCTCTAAAAAGAAGAACATCGCCATTTTAAGGCTTCGCAATATATTGATTTCAAAAAAAATTTTATATCCCGAGTCATAAAATAGGAAGTTTCTTCTGTTTTTTTATCCTTTTCATTTCGAATACCTTCTATGACATTGTCGACCACAACTTTGTTGATATGAACACTGCCCACACTGTTCCTCGCTAATCGTTAGGTTGCGCAAATAATCATAAAAGTTCGCGAAAGCCTAAAATTAATTTTATAGAATAAAGGATTCATTTATAAAAATCCTTGTGGGTTTCAAGAACAAGGCTATTATGGTTATTTAAGACCATTAAAGCAAAAATCTGGAAAACAGTGGCACGAACCTTCGTGCAAAATTTATATTCACTTATATTAATCGGAAAAATTGGCGAAAATCGTGTTTATCCATCATTATATGCTATAAATTTACAACCACACAAGATTATTTTTTTCAAAAATATCAGTAAGGAGAATCACATCTATTTCTTTGCTAGGGATGACATTTCTTCAAGAAAGCGCCACTTGAGGATAGAAATACAGATGGATATAAATTTAACTTTTGACCTATATATTATTCTATTACATATAAACCCATAAAATCCTATTATCAAAGAAATTTTAAAGAAATATCAGACAAATATTAAAAAAAAATTATTGTGAAAATTTTTACGATTCAAAGTGGAACGACGAACTTTTTATAATTCGTAAAATTTTCGAGATTAGATATCACAAAAGATAAAATAATTTCTAATAACATCGATGCTAATCGAGCAAAAAAAGTTTTTTCCTGATAATTACCTACCATTTAATTATCTGATTAAAAATGGTAAATTTAATAAAGATAATGCACCTATAAATTTTAACTTTTTTTCTCTATTTCCCTGCTATTTTTCAGAATTTGCCAGAGAAAAAAGGAAAAAAAATTTCATTGCATCATTTTTTTGTCATATGGAACTTTTCAAAGAATTATTTTTCTGGAAAATTTGTGAGTTATTATGACGCAATGGACAGAGGTGCATATCAATGCGTTAAAAGGCAAAGGTTCCAAGAAGGAGAAAGCAAACATGCCAACCACTTTAATCCAGAAAATTATCAAATATCTTTCTTCTTTTTTTCTGGGCGAAAGGTTTTTCCATATGAAAATCACACAGTTTCTTTTTTCCAGTCAAAATTTGCGTGTTTCAATTTTTTGCATCAATCGACAAAATTTTATGTTCGTTTTGGAATATTTTTGAAATTGTTCGTACTTCTTTCTAATTGTTCCATCTGAATTAATGATATCAAATATTCTCTACACTCTATTCAATATTCAACATTGATGGACACCTTTTCAAAATATAAAAAAAACCAAAATTCGTAAAATTTATGCAAATTTTGGGCAAAACCTAATAATAAATAAATAATAAACATAGGAAGTGCATGGAATCAACAATCTTATGTATGTCCCTTTTTAATTTTCATTGAGATACAATGAAAAATTTGTTAGAAACCATTTCTGGTTTAAACGGCTGTTAGGAGAAGGCCTCTTCACCAGAGTGAGTGCTATTTAGGAATAGAAATAGAGATTAGCCACTTAGATTTCCCTCATAATGACAGGTTTGCTCTAATCAAACTGTAAGAATCGAATTAATGACTGTCTATAGTCGAAGCGATAAACCACTTCATATTTTATCAACTATTAATTCAAATAGATTAAAATCAGCAATCCGTTAATTTATGAACGTAATTAAATCCACAACAAATCCAAGACTTAAATAAGTTAATGGAATCTGTCAATAAAAGGTAATTCGACCGCATTCATGTATCTCATTCGTTTGACTGATGGAAAGTATTAATTCTTTGAGTTGAACAGATTTATTTTCTGGCAAAATTGCTGAATAATGAATTTCCTGATATAGAAATTAAATGTTCGGTATCAAATTTTCCGTTTCCAAGAATAAGCTAAAATTTCTTCACTAAATAAATGAAACGCATTGAAATTAAACGCGCTAAAGTTTGCTAATGTAACTATGAGGACGGAAGCAAACTGCACTAAAATTATGAAATTCTATAGATTGGCGCAGTTATACTATCTATCTACGATTGGATTTAATAACTGCATTATTCTTTCCTTTCAATAAAGGAATTTTTAAAAAAAATACCGAGTATTTGACTGGATCTATTGACTAATAAGGCAAGATTTTTTCCTCTTGAGGAAAAGGAGGAAATGGACTTAGAAAGATTACGTCAGTTAAGGAACATTGGTTGCGTGGTCAACCAAAGCAACCAAAGCAGATTACATACTCGAGCACCTTAATCCCCTTAAATTAGGCTTTCTTTTTTTCAAGAGTCCTCACCATTACTAGTTGAACTCGCTCCGATGGCTTATCGCATTGGACAAATATGCTAGGAAGTACTTTGGCGATAGAAATAGAGGTGAGCATCACACGGATTTTTGTACAGGTTTACTCTTACGTTTCCAATTGAGCAACAACTCACTGAGCCATTCTATCCTTAAATTAGGTATCAGCTGATGAACCAATAAATATTTCATTTTAAGAAATGAATGATCGAATGAAATATAATTGAGTTTTTCTGGATGTTTTTGTCGTGGCTTGAAACCATTAATCATATATGAATATATGAACTGATGTGATTATGAGCAGGCAAATGATAAGCAAATGATTTATTGAGTTCGATGAAAAATATTCAGTGTTTATTGACTATTTATTAATTAAATTACACAGTGTAAAGGCAATTTCCCAGTAATAGGGTTCAATTTGCACTCTAAAATGTTAATTTTTAGGCAAAGAAGATTTCATTAAACAAGGATGGCGGTAGGAAGCACCAGTACTTCTATTTCCATGTGAATCTCTGAGAAAAAGAGCTCGAATGTGTAGCCGGTGGGAAACTTCATAAAATTTACGATATCGGATATACTAAATATAGAAAATAATTTAATATTAAATTAAATTTCCACTTTTTGATAGTTGAAAACTACGTGAGACTGGAGAAATTAGCCTCAATAATATCAACGCTTACGATCGATGAGTGGGGAAATCCATCTTACAAACAACGTGCATTCATCTCCTATTTGGGGAATGGGGAATTATGGCTCCTATTTTGAATTAAATGTCATGTGGATATTTTCTGCAAAATACGAATTATACAAATAAATAATACAACTTAAAGATTGTTAACTGATCAGAGAACTATTATAATTTTCCGGGAAAAATATAAAAAGTCATAACAAAAATGATATTATTTTTAATAAAAAATAATCGGCAAATAATCGGTTTGAGATTTAGCAAAAAAATGAAAAAAAATTTATCGATAAAGCAAGGAAAAGGCGTTAAAAAAATTACTATAAACTGAATAATTCATTTTAAAAAAATTTGACTCGCGGTGCAATATAAAGATTTTGCATATTAAATAAGGGAAACGCGCGTATTAATCCTCAGCTGATTCGATAAGGTGAGGATTTTTCGAAGATTTTCTCACCTTATTCCACAGCCATATCAGTCATTAAGAACCCCCAACGAATTTAAGTTTCGTCAATTCCAGGACTGTGGTTCTGATTTAGAAATGAAAGCGTAATTTTGTAATATATTATAGTCTCCTCGAATGAAGTTGATTTTTAATAATTAATAATAAAACGATGAATAATTAAAATAATTAAAATAAATTAGAATAAAAAATTTATTATTATTATTAAAAAATGAAAATAAATTATAAATAATGAAAATTAATTGAAAATAAATTACTTACAGCTCGATATAATAAAATAATTTTTTAAAAAAAAGTAAAAGAAATACAAAAAATGAAGTAAAATAGGAATAATATTTAACACCAACTTAAAATGAGCAATCTAATAATAAGGATGGGCAAAAATAATGGAAAAAGCGAAGAAAGCACTTACGATTCCCCATCGTTCACGTAAAAGTTTAAAGAATATATGATCTCGACAACCGTTACGACCAGGCAATAATTGATTGAAATAGCTGCGATTCCACCTCGGATTTTTACCTTTCAACCAAATACATGGACCCCATGTCGACCATTCACCGCAGTTACTTGCTTGCACCGCGTTACCGAACATCGCTGATAATTGCCCATCTGAAAATGTAAAAGTCAACGTCGTCAATTTATAGATTTCAATACCAATTTATAAACTTTATGAATGAAGGATGGATGATTCATGTTCACCTGCACCACACCATTATTATACATCAATGTTTCAATGTGCTAGATTATCACTCCGATATTAAATTGGAAAAATTTTTTGAAAAAATCCACTGAGAAATTACGAAAGACTTCAAAACAATGAAAATTTTCTAAGCTTAACGTAGTAAAAAATGGTTTAACACTATTTTAACCATTTCACAATATCCAAATAATATTTCGTAATAATATTGATGAGATCAATGAAAACACAGGGTCATAGGTGACGAAATAATAATATATGAGAGAAGCAAAGGTTGGATTGGTCAGTGGTCAAATATTCTGGTAGATGGCTATTAGAAAAGTTTAAGTTTGTACAACAGGAAAAGAGAGGAAACAATCCTTTAGTAGCAAAAATCCTTTGGGCAAAACTTTTTCATTGATAGTATGTTTCATTCACTCTACCTTCACGAATTATATTTTGTCGTTTTTTTATTAACGAATACTTTTCCTTTGGAATTGTTTGGATTTCCACCAACGCCAAAATAATCCACGAAAATTGCAGAAAATCCAAGAAAATGTCTTAAATGATTCACTCTGTTAGGCAGTGAGATAGGTTTTAAAAAGTTCAAAAATTTAATTGTGTGATAATTCCCCGTAGATGAGAATCTGTTACATTCCTTTTGGTAGAATCTTCAATATGGTAGTCTTGGTTAGTGTTAAGCGATAGGTGATGTTTTTGCGAATGTTTTGTCTTACTTTTATTTATTTATTTGTCAGTTGGAACCTAAAAAATTTTTTTGTAGAAAACGATGCATCCGATCAATTTTTCCGGAATTAAAGCAAAAAAACCAACAAATATGGGTCATCGATGGTGCGATAACCATCGGAAAGAGATGGAAGGAGCACAGTTGCACAAGCCACACCGCTTCATCACTCTTCTCCCCATTTCTAAAACCTATTTCAGTGCGAAAGCGATGAAGAAAAAAAAACGTAAGGAATTGTTAAACTCATTAAAACAAAGAATCTTAATGATACCTAAAAAATATTTATTGGAAAGATATGGGCGATTCACAAAAACCTCCTTTCATATGCACAACAAATCAGCGTTCATGGAAGAAAAAATCCCATCCCCCGAGGAATTAACTATTGACAATGCAGCGGTAATGTCACAGGTCATAATAATGATCAATAATAATGAAATCGAAGCCGAGCAGAAACGAGTCGAACCGATATATATGGGAATATGTAAAAATGCGTCGAAAAAGTCGTTGTTTGGCGGATCAGTAATTATAGAAGAAACAGAAGGCGTTTTGACAGCGGAAATCGAGAACTGTGATGTGATCGTCAATCAGCAGCCATTTCCTCGTTTCATGCCACCGTCGTTTGGGAAAGAGAAAAATAAAAGTCCACGGCGCTTCATCGAGAAAATGTTTCGGATTTTTCATAAAAAATTCAGCATGAAAAAAGTGTTACGTTTTATTGGAAAATTCTTTTGGGTTCTGTCGATAATTGCGAATATAATTAAAATTATTTCAATAATTTAAATTATTTAATTGATTAGCTAATTAGGTTCCTAAAAAACATTACGTCGTTGATCTCGTTTTGCCTATAAAACGTAATATATACGGTACGGTAATGCACCAACTCGAACCATTAATTTGTTTCATTTTTGCAGTAAATGGCCCTACTGGTTTTTTCTGAACAATTCGCCTTGTTGGTTTTCTTGAAATATTAATTTAGTTAATAATGAAATGAGTGCGGTCAGCAAACGTTTTTAATGCGTTATTTGATTAGCAACAACGAAAGTAAAAGTAATTGCTGCTTAAAATGCTTCTTCCAATGATCTAAAATTATTTCGCTTGTGAAATTAAATTTTTTGCATTAGTTATGTCGTTTATCACACAAATTATTTGTTGCTTCGCCATATCAGTAAAGCAAAAATTTTGCCAAATTTATTGCAATCGCAGTGGTTGCTTTTTTGTGAGTCCTGTCTGGAAACTCACCTGTATTTCTACCTCTAAACGAGAGAGTCCATCCTAATGACCTGCCGAACTAGCCAAAATAGACATGGCGAGTGCTATCAGAAGATGAAGTATGATTTGCTAATGATTTAATAAATAAAACAAAAACCTATTTTGAAAAAATAAAAAATTTTGATGATATTAGCTGGCTTTTAGATAATTTGAAAATCTATGAAATTTACTGAATTTTTAGGTAGTAAATATTTACTGCATTTCAAATGATATGTTACTTCATCTTAAATTGCATTTTAATCATTACAATAAGATAATAAGATTATTATTTTGACTATGTTTTACATATATTTACCAAGGAAATTTGGCGTGAAGAGTAAATAACCAACGAAAATTCCGACGAGAGAAAATCACAGAGTTGTAGAAATTTAAGACCACCGCATGAAGTATAAACTTGTTTAAAGTTGATAGAAGTTGATAAAGACGACAGCAAAATCAAACAGTGGATCATAAGCAAACATGAATATTGAGGAGATTTCGCGCAAATTAGACTCTGCTCAAATTTTATAAAACTCCGTATTACATAACTTTTTATGTCACAAAATATGCAAAAAAATATAAAATTTCAACAACGCGGTAAAGAAGATTAGTGACCTTAAAAAAATCTTGATTAGGATATTCGTAAACCCTACAACTCGACAGAATAAGAATTGTTGCTTGTATTGCCATTTCGAATATAATACCATGGCTCATGGTTTCTCTGCCAACGTCAGGAGTAAACATAGCATTGAAAAATGCAGGTTGTTTTGCACATCCACATGTTTCTATGCCAAAATAAGTCTTTTAGCAGCTCTTCTATGAGACCATATTTTTTGAACCATATTTAAAGAATTCCAGCAACTTCAAGTAAGTTTGAAAAGAGACGAACCTGTCGAATCAATTGATACAGTAATTATTAGCGCAAATTTAGCGTATAAAATTACGATTAGTTTCATTGGAATTTTTCAAATCGCAATAATATTAATTGAAGAATCGGAGACAAATCTTTCAGAGACACCACAATCGAGATGGATGAAAGGAATTGGGTCGTTTCTAAATCGAGTCGACTCGGCTCGACTGGCTCATTATACTGAACCCTTCATTCCTTTTTCACCTTTCCATTAATCAAAAAAAAAAATGATTTTTATCGCCATATCCTTTAAATTCCTTCCTTACGATCGGTTTTAAAGATTTTCTCGTTTGTTTGCAAAAATTTTCAATAAAATTATTATTAGAAAAAACACTATAAACATTATTAGAAAAATCAGAAATAGTAATTTCATTTCAGCCTTCAGCTTAATTCGATTAGAATTTATTATAACGTTATACACTCGTAAATCAGAATGATAAATCTGGGGTTCGTTAAACCTGATTTGGATGAACTGGTGGCCGATGAGCCTTCGTCTCCCCATTTCTCGCATTAGCCAGGTATTCACTAATCGGTTGAAGGTTTCTCTGACTTCAGAAGGAATTGAGACTTGCATAACCTTAAGATAAATCTATTGTTAAGAAAGATTTCTAAATGTTTCTGGTTGGATATATCTGACTGAAAGTGGAAATGATTTGGCTTTTGTAGAGTTTTTCGATTCTTTTTAACGATAGCTTTGCTCGCATCGAGCGATAGCAAGCGAATCCTTGACCACAGCAGTTAAAGAACTTTACCACTCGGCAGTCTCACTGAGCAGCCAAAATCGAAGCCATGACTGAACCTAACTGCTGCAATTTATACGAACTGAATAATGGATTTTGAACTCGATAAAATTTCAATCGTTGAAGCAACTTAATTGATGGTGAGGGTGTTTTTTGGAAAACTTCCGGAAAATTGAGCGCATTTTAGATTAAGGAAAATATGGTCTCTGACTCCAAACAGCGAAGACGAGCGTTGAAAATTTTTCTTTTTTTTCCGTTATGTCCCTTCGTCTCCTTATCCTCTTTCCTTTCCCTTCACCTACTATCTCTGGTTTGGCTGATTCTGACCCTATTAGCTAAAATAAGAGCCTTACAAAATGTAGGTTTTCGTATATGGTTACTTGTTTCCACTAATACTGCAGAATGCGCGAGCAATTGACAGCCAGCATTACTTTCTTGCGGTTATACTATAATATGAACCAAGACCTGGACTGATATATTCAGAAGATAAGCGTAGGCAACCCAATGAAGCTTAAATGGTAGAATAAGGAGTCAAACCTTTCAAGTATGGAGAGCCGTACGAATAATGTGGAAGCAATATGAACCTCTCGACATACCGAGCTGTTAGAAGCCGAATCTTACACTTCGGTGGGTGGAAAGTGGCTTAATGTATACAACGAAGGATCCTGTTGAAGTTATCTTCATTTTCTTGGTTGTTAGTTAATTTATTGTCGTTTTGTACAGTCTTTTTCATTGTGGAGTTTTTCATTTGTTTTAGGTTGTTATTATTTTTAAAAATTTCTGCAGGAGAGTAAAATAAGTTTTGTCAAAGGGCCGATGGGTAGCAGCGGGTCTGCCAGCGTGACCCGCGGTTCGCTCGTGGAGCCGAACCTCTGATGCGGACGAACCACATCGGAGCAATCATATTGTATATAAATGAGTGAATTCTTTTAATTAATTAATAATTAATTAATTAATTAATCACTGAATAAAAAAGTTTCTGAATTTGTTTTACTTTTTATTTTTACAGTTACTAATTAGTTACTAATGGGTGGAATCCGAGAAAGAATGGCTTTGATCTCCGCTTTTCAGTTGCTCGTACATGTGACATCAGTCTTCTCCAGTGGTCCTCGAAGTGTGGTTTGGTGATTTTTGGGCGCCGCCGATGCCCATCCTGAACGCCAAAACCATACTAATAATATTACATTTCCATTATACTTTCATCGTATGGATTTTGCAAATAAAATATATTTATGATAAGTTTTTGAAATGATGGAAACAACAAGGAACGAGTAGCAAGTTTTTTCAATCAGTGTCAAACCACTGCTCATTCGATTTCTGTCCTCTAGCGGAAGCTAGTGAACAAATCTGGAAAACGCTGATTCGAAAATGAAAATTAGCTAAGTGGATGAACGTGTCGATTTAAAGAATACAGCTAATATTTTTTGCTTAAAATCCAAGCTCTACATCGGAAATAGAATTTAGAGAAGTTTCGTCCGCCAGAGCGATGTTAGCAAGGGTTTCGCATTTAAGGGTTTTTCGAATATTACCGGTGGTTTAGCAAATGCGATTTTGAATTCGTTGTATCACATTTGGAAGATTCTTATAGATGTTTTAGCTGATATTTTCCAATTATGAGCGTTTGCAAAATAATACTTCGCCAAAGGATCGTTTTACGGTTCTTTTATGGTGATAAAGGATTTCCTAAATAATCTGGAAAGGCGTTAATCATGAAATTAATCATCCATTTTCCTACTGCATATCTGTTTCAACCGAATTAACATCGCTATAGAGTGAATATTAAATGTAGGAATAGATATGATGATCCAGCTATTTTTTTAAGCAGTATTTAATGAAATTTGCAACAATTGAAGGAAAATTTTAAAAATCCATCTGTTTTAATATGCATATATATATGTTTATATATAACAAAGACTATGGGATTTTTATAGAATTTAAAAGAATCTTGGGAACGCAAGTATGAGGACCATTGATTATATTTTATTCATCGAAACATTATAGATCGAACCATTCGGAAAGAATTCATATTTATTTATTTATTTGCATTTACTTTTTTTTCAGGTTGAATCAGTTTTAATTATTAATCAATTCATTTAATTATATTGTTTCATTTTGGTCTCGTTAATGGATTTTATTTATTTAAGATAATTTAAGATTGGTTTACATTGCAGGAGATGCCAAATACACCGCCACTGGATGATGGTGATGATGAGGCGAAAGAATCTCCAGATATGAAATTCGCTCGAATGCGTCTCCAGCATTTAATTTCGCGTATTAGAAATGGTGAACTTCGCGCTCAATTTCCTGTATCGGGAAGTCGTCCTGACAATGAAGCGTTGGCTTTTTAATCTTGAATTTTTTCTTATAAGGCTTCTTTTCTTATAAGATGTTCCTGTAATCCAGGAAGGCCGAATAAGGCTTAGAATTTTTTATGCATATTTTCATGAAAATTCTGCAGCACCATTTCTGTTTTCGCTGATCTGTTATTATGATGAAAATTATTCGTGTGATAGCCGATAGAGAAGAGAATAGGAGTACAGGTCGCCAGGTTCCCCAGAAATTCCACTCCAAAACTTTACGTATTTTACTTTTAATGGCAAATTTGTTCCTTCATGTCAAAGGGCAAGAGCTGAACTTATGGTGTTTGGTCCCAATCAGAGCAAGTAGTCCATTCTCCCTTTATCATGAAGTTCAGTTCAGCGTTTTTTAAACTTTTTTGTCTTTATTTTAAAGTAATTTATAATTCCCATTTTTTTAAACCAATTAAAAATTAAGAGCCAAAATTAAGGAAATGATTTTAAATGATTTTTTAGAAATGCTATGCAAAAGAAATTTAGATTTTCCAATTCACACTTCACTATTTAAATGTTTCATACTTTAATGTTTTAGGGTAAACCCTGTAGAATCTCGTGATGTTCCTCGTGGTCCAGGAAGGCCGAAGAAACCTTTTCAACGTGAACGACGTCAGTTTCTGTTTTTCATATTCCATATTTCTGGGCCTTATTTCGCAAAAAATTCAGAATTATCAAAAAGAAGTATTACCAATATGGGGTAGAACGGCACAGTGGATTGTTGATCTCATTTCTGCATATCGATGGTATTTTGCTTCTGATAATAAAAAAATGTGTCCTTCAAAAGTGGTGGTGGTGACTTATCTATATTTCTTTCGCCAAGTAAATCCCTGGAAAAATTTATATGGTTCGATAAGCTAGCGGAACGAACCAGAAATAATGAAAATATCGATATCACTTCTGAAAGGAGTTCAGAATCTTTTTTTTTATCTTTATATATATAGTGATTTCATGCAGCGAATTCTTAGATATCTTCGAAATATGCAATCAAAATAATTTACTTGAATAGCAATTTATAATATTAATTTTGAATATTTAGGCGTAGTATTTGAACTTCGTGGTAAACCTTTTGCTTTGCGAAGCTTTTCCAGTAATGAAGCGGTATATTCACTATGTCGAATATGGATGCGTGGAAAAGAAGATGAATTATTGAAAGAAAGTGAAAATGAAATTGATTATCCTGAGCCAGACGATGATTCCCTGGTATTTTTTATAATTTTTAGATCATTAATTGGAATAAAATTCAAAAAAAATAAAATTTAAAATATACAATGTTTTATAATGGAATGGAAAGTATGAGTTATTTTTTAATTCCTAAGAAATAAAAAAGATTTTTTGGGGTTTTAGTAAATAATTTGGCGCTTTTTTGTTAAAACAAATGAACAGATATCGTCACACAATCAATTAAATTGTAGAGACAAAGTGGATAAGGACAAAAAAATTCCAACTTAATGCCAAGGAAATATATCACAGAAAAAATAATAGAATAATTTATTTTATCGAAGAAAAGGAATCTTCTATATGTAAAAATGGAATAGAGAAGGAAAAAAAGAGTGTACAAAAATGTTTATAAACGCTAATCTTTTTCTTTTTTTTCGTTTGGGATAACTTATTTAGTTTTTTTTCTTTACGTGGAAAGAAGCTGTTACATTTAAAAAGGCCCAACTTTCACATGAAATTTAAATGATGGAACGGAACAACTATTCTCAACTATGCACACTATTCTCCTTTTTAGGAATTATTGGCCACAAAAGAAATATTAGCAATGCCAAGACCACGTGAAAATATTAGATTTTCACCTTTCCCTGAGCCAATCAAGAAAAAAACATTTTCAACCATTAAACCTAAAGATGCTTCAGTGGTTCTAGAAGATTACTTACCTCATTGGAGAAACGTGAAGAACAGGTTGGTTTTTACATGATATTGATGGAATTCGCTTGCCTAAGCAAAATGGAATATTTTTCAACTAGTACATCCTTTTTAAACCAAAAAAATTGCAGTTGGAAAAATCATCGAGAAATCCGAGATCGCCGATATGATAAAAGTATTCATTTGCTGAACACCGTCTACAATATAGCCCAGCAGAACACTATACATAGCAATTGAAAAAAGTGATTATTAAGACTTCGCGGTGACATGTCTCGAAAAATTTTCTTTGCAAAATTTTCAAAAATTTACTTTATGGAAATTGAACCAAAACAAAAGTTACACGTTTTTGAAGGTCGAGCCGCTTGTCTTCTATTCGTGATTTTGTAATTTTTGTCCTTAAGAAAAGGTCATGCACCACTGCTTTATTATGGTCCAGACAATTGTTCGCACCGCAATTTCAGCGATTTATATAGCCAATTTCGTGTATTTTAATTATATAATCATTTCCATTCTTTAAAAAAAGAACAGAAAACACATGAAATGTTAAAAAATCCTCCTAAGAATAAAAAATTTATGAACAAAAAACGTCAGAATATTCAGAAAGCCAAGTTTCTGAAATATTAATAATAACAATGGGCTGTGATAAATTAATTTAATAGCAACCTTAAAATCTTCATTAATAGCCGAAATAAATATTAGTACTTCTTTCAAAAAAAGGTCACTACCAATGAAATGAACCGTAACAGCATGTTTTCATATTTGGAGACAAGAAATAAGACTACTAATACCTACTGAACATTTCATCTACGAGTTTTTATCATGATTTAAATATTTTATAAAGGCAAATTTTGAAAGTAACAATGAAAGACTAATGAAATATTGAAATTACTAAAATGAGGAAGGTGAAAACTGAAAATGAACTGGAACACAAGAACCAAATGATTCATGAAACAATCATGATATCATTTTAAGTTTTTCAGCAGAAAATTCAAATCGGCAAAGAAAAGTTAATGGTGGAATCAAAAAAAAACGTGAAAATAAAGATACAAATTAACAAATAATTTCAGATATTAAGAAAGAACGAATATAATTAATCAGTCTTGTCGCCTTTGACGTATTCTCCTTCCTTTTGGCGAATTATGGTCGATTTCATTTTCTTGACTATCATTTTCAATATTTTCTGCTTCTGAGGATGATGGTTCCTGCAACAAAATTTTTTTAAAAAGTTCATTCAAAAATTAACTCTTTGGAATATAAATTATTAAATTATTAATTATAAATTATTAAAATATAAATAACCTTTGCATTCCCATTACGCCCACGACTTGTTGACCGTGATCGCGATGCCGAACGCTCCTCATCTGCAACCTTTATTTCTTCCTTTGTACCTTCTAAATCATCATCATCTCCCACCAGATTGGGAATATCGTCATCATCGTCCGCTTGGGCCTGAATTTAATTTAAGAAATGAAAAAATCAAATCTTTCCCACAATTCCTGAAATTGAAAATTGACCTCATCAGTTTTTTTATAGTCGCTGGTTGATGGCCGGCTTTTACGACCGAAACACGTTATTGCGATGATAATGACTGGAATAAGAATCGATAAAATATAAACAGCCCAAAGCCATGGTCTTTCTTCAGTTGCCGAAATCATTTTATTGACAATACCTTCACTTGGTGATGACGCGCTTTCATATAATGCTTCCTTTAAATTAAAAATATAGAATGAAAATTTCCACTATTTTTTGAAATCAAATTTGCGTACCTGTGAGGACTTAACCGTAAAGGTTTGTTTTGCAAATGAGGATGCAGCACTTTCATCATTTCCCACAAATATATTATCAATTATGATATTGCCACTCATCGTCCATAGTTCAAACCCAACTGCGGAAATAGATTGCAGTTGTGAATAAGGATGAGGTTCAAAGAAGTAGGGGTTTTCAGTTTGTCGTGCCTTCCATTTACCTTTGTAATCTGGATTACTGACCATAGGACGCTTCCATTTGCCCTGGATATTTTTAAGCTAACTAGTTATTTTCAAGATAACTTTTACTTCGGGAAAGGCTTGATATCAGGCCTAATATGAATTAAAAATTTTGGTTTTTTAGCGGAATTTACCTACTAGATAAAAAACAAACTTTATATGCAGGATTAGGGATCATAGGCCGTTTCCACGGCCCACAACCACTAACGCCCTTGCATTTCGGGTTTTCTATTTTTGGCGCTTCCCAAATGCCATCCATTTCATCATCCCAGTCTACCGGTTTTTCAGCAGCTTCATCAGGGACCATAGGTTCTTCATTTTCCAACCAGTCCACTGGTTTGTTAGCTTTATCGTCTTCGATTTCTTGCGGCGCATTCTCATCCCTATGTCAACACATAATAAGTTGCATTTAGAACAAAATTTCAGGCTAACATATAATGACAAAAACAAAAAAAATCTTCTTCATCTTTCGTCCACCAAATAAATTTAAAGAAAAGGTAATTTAATGCCTTTGGTCAGAAAAAACAGATGGTCGTTCAAAAGAACAAGAAGATTTCTCTAGAATTACCAGTCATCCGGTTTTTTAGCATTTTTATCTTCGATTTTCTCTCTATCATCCCAATCAGCCGGTTTCTTGTCGGTTTCATCATCAATCATTTTTGGTGGAGTAACTGATGGTTCCAAATCCTAAACTTCTAAAAAATAAATAAAAACAGCTGCAAAAAAAGATATAGCCATATAAATGTTGGTAATTTATTCTTGCCGTAAGAAGATTTCCAGACATAATCTGTGAATTATCAACAAGAACTGAAAAAGTTTCGTCAGGACGGACAATAAGTGTATAAAGATGTGTTTTCCTATCATCAAAATATCCTGATAATGATTTGGATGATTGTTTCGCATGGTGCTCCTGTAAATTCGAAATATGAAATTTAAATATGAAATTAAATATTAGTAAACCTTTATAAAAGAATGGCCATATGGCTGTGAACGCAAAATAACAAAAAAACTAATAACACTGCGAAGAAAAAGCGATAAACAAAAACGAAAAAAACTGACGCTGATAATGTCATTTTTAGGATTTTTTAATCGTATGATAAAATGGATTTTGGAAGTAGAACCACACTTATCAGGACCAAACATTATAGTATATGGAGTTTTATCAGTGAATTCAGCTAGTTTATGTTCGGCTCCGATAGTTAATAATTTAATGTATCCACCACCGCATTCTTGTCCATCTTCATACTTTACTTCATATCTAAATGTAAATTATCAAAATTAATAAAATAGCTAAGAGAACTTTTTTCACAAATATTGGGAAATTTAGGTGAACAAAGCTAGTTAGGTGAACGGTTTTTTGGCTTCTCTGCTAACTCCTGGTTGCGTATCTGATGATTCCTCGTTTCTATCTCAAATCTATTTCAAACTGCAGCATCTTACAATTCCAGAAATATCACCAAATGAAATGCCCATCTAACCAAAAAGTTTACAAATTTTCAGCAAAATTTTTGAATATGCTATAACAATTATAAAAACATGGCGATGAAACACTCACTGAGCAATTAACGGTTTCCCATCAAATTCAAAAGTCTTTGCAAGCTTGGAAGCAATTGCATGATGCCTAGCTTTGCTTTTTACAATTAAACCATAATCTCCATCACTGACAATCTTTGAAGGAGGACCGATTTCCCATTCACCTCAAATTACTTCATATTAATCCAAATGTCCCCGAATCTACATTATCGAATGATGTAAAAAGATAAAACAGTTGTAAACTGCGTGTGGAAATATTGTCAACCTATAAAAAAATTTAAAAACTCGAACTTTTGAAAAAAACAAACAGTGATAAAAAAATTTTATTTCTTGGCAAACAGACCAAACAAAACTTACCATCGTATTTCGAGACTGAATTCTCAGCATCATCTTTTTTACCGCTAGATTTAATCCATTTATTGCCAATCGCTGTAAGATCTGAGAACCATTCAACGAGATGTGGTGATCCAGTAATTACTGGAGTTTCAAATGGCGGTGCAATATATACCTTAAAATTATTTATTTGTCCAAAATTCAAAATTTCAGCAAATTTATATAACACAAACAACAATTTGCGAATTCAATCTTCTTAGCGATGAATTTTATAAAAATTACTGATTTAAGTGAAAAAATACAAGGAAGAGAAGAAAAATGTAAAATATAAATATAAAAAGAATTTACAGATTTCGCTTTCTTTTCGCTATTATCAATCTCCTCATCGTACATTTCGTCAACATCGACATCGCAATTAACTTTTCCACGTAGAAATAAAAGAGTAAATGCCACGATGAGTAACTTCTTCAACATTACCCACATCTGACAGTATTACATAAACATTTAATAATTCTAAAATAATATAAAAATTATTTTACAAAAGATTGTATACCATCCATACGGGAATCTTTAGATTAACAAGGTTAAAAACCTTAACTGTGAGAAAATTTATGAGAGAAAATTTATTTGAATAGTTTCGACAATTAACCATTCCAGTATGTATACCAGTTATCCCATACTTTTTTTTTAAAGAAACACTGTTGATTAAGCTCATTCGGCTGGCTTATCAGACTAGATAAAGATGCCAAGCAACCCCGTGGCAGAAACTGTGTGAATCACCAGCATTGCCCGACTTATGTGATATCAATATTCCAGCTTTTTCTCTCTGCTGAATTCCATAATGACTCAAGTTCATCGCAACCTATTCCTTTGCTCCTTCATTAAACTACCAAATTTCTCATATTTCGAGGTTTTTTAAAAAATCAATTTTAAATTTTTTTTTAAATAAATTTTTTAATGAACTTTATAAATTGTGTTTTGCAAATTTTCATTTTATAAGTGAATATCTTTTATATTTTGTATGACAAATTATCGATTAATTAATAAAAGTTTTGTAAACTTATAGATTCACTTTAATGGTGGAATTCATTTAAAAATTGGTTTCTAAAAAATTTAACGAAATCGCATAAAACCAAAACTTTTTCTGTAATATATAAATCGAAGCTCTTTGCTACAAAACAGACCTTCACACCACTGCACCACACAACAACGTGCCTCGGACCGCAGTAGAATATAAGGGAAATCTCTTCCTTCCGGTCCTACATTACCACGTCCCTACCCTCCTCTTCCTTAAATGAGCTAGCTCCACACCATCCCCACCCATTAATAACACGTCACCATAAAGAACTATCAATAAGCGAAGAATTGCGCAACACTAATGTTTGCCGCGATGCGTTCGAGAAGAGGCGTGGCTTAAAGCAGTAGAGAAAATATCGTTATCGTTAGAGAAATATACAAAAATGTCCGAAAATCCCATCAGCGAATGACCTTCAGCAGTAGTTAGCCTTTCAACAGATAGCCCTGTGGTAACCTCTCAGCTGTAACATCCTTGGAACTAACAGTACTCCTACAACACTCCTTAACGACCGACAACTCAACCAGACTCCCATTGTAACTGAAAAATAAGTTCCCAACAATATAACGAATAGTAATAGTCGTAAACTGGAAGCGAAGTAAAACCTTCAAACTTTATGAACGAATTAATACATTAATATAATCTCTCACTAAGGATAGAATGGCTTATTGGGTTGTTGCTCGACTCGGAGCACCGATACTAAGGTCTATTCCCAGCAGGAGTAAACCTGTCCGAAAATCCGGGTGATGCCGGCGAGTCTCCCGTATTTCTATCGCCAAAGAACCCTCTGGCTAATACGACAAGCCAATGGAGCGAGTTTAACCAGTAATGGTGAAAACCCTTAAAACCACCTCCCACTAATTGAGCCATAACTTCCCAACAATTGACCTTAATTGACCTGCAACTTTTTTTTACTATGTTAGATTGATTAGCATTCACCATTTCCGGTTAAACTTCCTCACTGGCAGGTAGAACGGAATTTTGCCGTATAATAATTAGTTGGTCCTGGACTTCTTATTTAACACCGCTAAAGTTCGTCACCAACTCATCGTTCGACCGACAACCCCGAATGGTTACAAAAGCACCAATAATTGAACCACTTTTCCGAATAAGTAAAGATTTATATTTATATTTTACATATTTGCTATAGTGAGATGGTTGCTTTGCCTTCCAGTCGCTTGGTAACGGACATGGAGTAGCCAACTTCACCCGCACTTTTAAATAGCTTTATTTCAGGTACAAAGGCGAACCATAATGCTGAGCGCATCCAAAGTCTCCCCCCTACCCACTCGATTTGCAAATTAGGAAATACAAAAAATTAAGTCTTCAAAAAAATCAATAAAAAGCACTAATAAGCAAAAAAGAACATTGAATGAAAACGGGTAGTAAAACAATCAACCGCGAATTTAAAATAGATGTACCAAAAAACTGAATAAAAATTAATTTTATTCCACGAACAAACAAAAAAATTTACAATTAAACAAACAATAATATTAATAATTAATTAGTAATAATAATAATAATAGTAATAATAATAATAAGTGGTTAATATGAACAACAACGATTAATAAACTATGAAATTTCCACAAAAAAATAAACAGCAAAAAACAGGCTAAAGAAAATTCGCAAATTTTTTTTTCGCTAACTTCTATATTTTGTATTCTTCCAACTGATTCCTCATAATTCTCACAGATTTTCAAATTCGTTGACGCGTTTCATTTCACAAAAATACCAAACTAAATCGAGAAAAGAACCTATCGTTCGTTTCCGAGAAAAAGTATTAGCGAAAATATGAAAAGTGAGTTAACAAATAATAAAATCATACAGCTGACTTCCTTGCATATTTTTGAATTCTAAAAAATTTATCCAAGTTTTTAATCATTAAAAACAACTAATCAAGATGAATGAGAACACAAGCACCAAATCTGCATAAAAATCTAAGGTAATATGCCAAATGAAAGTGGCAAATTAACTCTAATCATCAGCGCAATTATAAAAACAAGTGAACAAATAGATTCTTCAGTGCGTTTATTCGTTGTATATAGGCCAACGCTAAACTATTAAACGCTACTCTTCCTTAAAGTAAAAATCTTCGACTACACGGTCCGAAGTTCTTATTATTTTATATATACTGAAGAATAAATCCAAACAAATTTTGCGTTAAAAAAAAAAAACAACAAATTCATCGGAATCAAAAGAAAAGTTCAGACAAATGAAAGAAAAATTTTGAAAATCATAAGATCCGTAATCGAAAATATTTCCGATGATGCATTCTTTTTCAAATATTTTTTGACCCAAAACTGAGCTTCTGTAATTCAATAAATTTAAAAAAAAAGTTGCAACATAACAGAAAGACTAAAATTCGTTAAATGTAAACAAAAATGCACAAATATACGAAAAAAACCTCTTAGCAATCAAAAAAAAGAAAACGATATACATCTCCCCTTGTAGAAAGCACCCGTCAAAAAGTAGCAATAATGCATTAGCATAAAAACGCGAAAAAAACAAATTGTTTTCATTATGGAGCGGATCTTTCCTTATCTGAACCATAAATTTTAATAAAATTATTTTATATTATCAAAAAAAATTTCAGAGAATAATTTAAGGAAAAGATCCGAAAAATATTCGGTAAACTAATAAACTAATAATAGGGTAGAATCAAAAGAGATACAAAAATACAGAAATATCACATTATACAACGAAAAAAATTAAAATTAATGAAAAAATAGTAAGGAAAATAAAGACCAAAAATAGCGTGACGAAACAGATTTAAAGCTAATCCTATTTTCATTTGAATGCAAGGTTGCAATCATAATAAGAGCGTGCATGAAACCAAGAATACCACTGATTATTTCCGTATAACTTAAGATTATATCAGCTTAACAGCAAAAAGAAAGAAATATATAATATAAAAGCAGCCACTTTCGCAATGTATGATAAAAGAACATGATTGCAGAAAACCAAATCGTAAGAAATATTCAGATGAGCAAACCATAACCTTCAGCGCATCAATGCAACTGAATCGCTAATGACGCTAATACAATTGTATTGAAATTTTTTTCGAAAGTATTAAGAGATATAACTAAAAAACGATGGGAATTACAAATGAAAACGATCATTTGTTCAAAAAAAGTAAGAAAAATATACTTACAAAATAAACAACTGTAGGTAACAATAATGCTGGCCATAACCACAACAAAAAAGTTGAGATACAATTACAAACTATTGTGACGCAAAGAATTTACAAACAGCAAACGAAAATAAGAGTATAATTACAATAAAAAGAATTAACTATCGACGTCCCAACACAGCAGCATTTATATGATTATGATTATTTGTTTGAACCGCAGCAATTTGCAATTCATTAAACGCAGTTTCAACACAACGTCGCAAATCTGCATATGATGCTATCAGAATATTTTCGCCATCACGTGACACTAACTGAATTTTCTCAGCAACACCAGCATCAAGCTAAAAATTTTTGTTGAAATTGTCGGAATGCATTGTAATTATAAAACTGCTGAAAGTTATAGCAATATTAACATTTTATAAAAATGTTATTTAGTGGTACAAAAATATATATAAATCATAAAAAACAAAAATTAAAAAGTATTGAAGGGCGCTACAATCTTAAAAATCTCTCACAAAAGCGGTTCTAACGATCCACAGAAATTCAATTCATCGAAACCAATGAAATTAAAAAAATTTTCATTAATAAAGAAAGCGATGAAATCACACACAGCAAACAATAAAAAAAAATATTACAGATAAAATAAAACAACCTTGTTTAAACAAGTAATTATGTGGGCCATATCAATCCATGGTTTGCCAGTTTCAGTTACTTGATGAAAAAGGTAATCTCGAAACAATTTTAAAAGATATCTATCACCGGTTTCGCTCCATTTTGTATCCATTTGAAATCTAAATAAATGATTAATAATTCATTTTAAAAGATTGAATAAGTGGTTTTCAAGTAGTGGTCGGTTTCTTGCCTCCGATTTACATTATTTATATTATTCTTTTTAATTTCATTTCGGTACTTGCATTTATAGAACAAAAAAAGGAAAGACAAATGAAGAACATCGGGACACATCAAAGTTTACATTCTAGCACGGTCACTTAAGGCGTGAAGAACAGCTGCCAAATTATAAAAAGGAAAAACCTATATTAGACAGCACAGACGATGCTGAAGGCAGATGATTACTTCTGTGCAAGTGGCAAAATCATCATTTTATATTGCATAGGACAAAGAAGTGAGAAGCTATTCTACCAGGAAAACCACAAGGAAAACCACACAGAATGTAGATTGACGATATTGTGCCAGCTGATAAACATAATACTGAACAATTGGGAATCTTCTGGAGTACTAATAATAAGTCTTTAGTCTTTCGAAAATTGTTACCATATAGGCAAAGAAAATCAAGCGTTGCAAGGAAAGAATTATAGAGGATATATAGAACGTAAGAATGTTGAATTCGGGGACGATTAACAAAGTAAAAGATGAAATGAAACAGTTACTTTTGACATCCTAGGCATCATTGAATTGAGATGGATTAGAATCGAGATTAATCAGAAGATCACATTATTTATAATTCATGATATGAAAACCAGACAGACGAGGATATAGCAAGAACAGTTTTTGTCAACAACGCAATCAGACATACAAACCAAACAATTTAGATCGTGCTCTTTAATAATCATTCAATCATTCAAATTTACACTCCAATCAGCGATAAAGAAGAAAAAAGGATCAAGATCAATTCAAAATTGACGGAAGATGCAAGCAAGACGTATTGCCTATGATCACTGATTGGAATACCAAAGTTGGAAAGATAAAAAAGGTTGTTGGATTGTATGGCTTTGGAAATTGAAATAATGCAAGAAACCAATTCACTTATTTCTGCCACTCCAATGATTTTTTTATAGCCATTTTTTTTAAACAACGAAAATGATGCCTCTATACTTGGATTTCAACAGATGGATTATTCAGAAACTAAAGTTTCAGTATCTTATAAGAACAAATAAACAATTTTCTAATAGTATCGAATAGTATCAAATGCCACGATGTAACTATCCTATGAAAATTAGAATTATATGAGTCATGGTATTGCTCTCTATGGATGCAAAAACTTGGACTTTAAGAAAGCAGAATAGGAACAGCAGATGCTTTGAACTCTGTTGAGAAGACTGGGAAAATACCATAGATAGAAATAAAAAAGATAGCAAAGTTCTTACTCGAGGTACAAATGACCAGGTTAAAATTATACTCCTTTGGACACAATATATTTAACTCTTAACTCTTAACGAAGATTTAACTCTTTGGAAAAAGATACGTAAAGATATGAAAATGGTACGAGAGGAGGATATCATGCAATAGGGTGGGTAGATATTCAATTACAAAGTGGTACATCTGGTCGGTATCGGTAAAGTTCGACAGTTAAAAGATCAACTTCCAGAAAGAATGAAAAAAGTACTATATTGCGTAACCTTTCCTTTCCCATTTGAGAATTGAGAATTTAGGCTCAAAAATCAATTCAAAAATTCCAAAATGAAAAAAAACTTTTAACATAGAAAAAATAACTGATAGAAGTTTTTTATAAATTCAAATTATCAGAACATAAAAATAAACTAGCAATTTCTATATATAATTATAAAATTTCTGAATTTCAAAATAAACAACTTACTCAGCTCGTTCGATGATAGAGTTAAGTTTACATAATAGCCGAAAAAGCCGCCCGTTTTCCAATTCCTTCGAAAATTCATTTTCTAATAAATCATTTTTCATTTGAGCAGTTTCAAGCTGACTGTAAAATCGAGCACCAATCATAGGCATCACATCATTTATACTACGTAAACGATTATTCTGTTGAACTGACGAACCCAGTAAATGTGTGATTAAATTTCTCATGTCAGAAGACATTTGGTGAAATACATGAAGAGAATTATTGGAAATATTTTCACGCCTAGCTGCCTGTAAATTCCCAGCAACAAGAGCGATCATCGCTCTACCAAGACCATTCAAATCTTCTTGCTGCAAAACAAAGTCATATCCGAATATACAAAAGGGTAATAGGAAAGAGATAAGAATTATTCAGAGAGTAAAAATTTTTAGCGAAATTTTAAATCCAACTATTATATACCTGCTGATTTTGAATAGATGATGAACTATTGTCAGGCATCAATACATCGAGTACACCACATCCACTCATCATCACTCTGAAATACGATAACCTTTAATTTTTTATGATTTCTAGGTTACATCCAAAACTTTATAACAATAACAAATAACAATAACAAATGCAAAATAATAAAAACTATCCATTTTATTTAAGCAAATATTTTCCAAAATAGTAATGAACAAAAGACTAATAATAGTTGATACATAATCTATATAAAAATTACCCATATTAGTTCCTAAAATACTCAATTATAACTCTTTCGACAATATATAATATGAACTGAAGGAAATTTTTTCTGGGATATTTTGAAATTGCTATAAATAATAAACTAAGTTCCTTTTTAAATTTTAAAACAAAGAATTAAAAATAAAACCTATCACGATTTCAAAAATTCCTGCTCAACTGACTCTATGGTGAAATGGTCTGATCTGTTGTGCATGATAACCAAGGCGAGGAATAAGTGTGAAATCCGAGCGTATTAAAACAATTCTAAGGTTTGAGAATAAGATGTGTTCTCGAGATTATTGCTCGAAACTTTTCTAGAGTAAAATTTAATTTGGATATTTGCATATGCTACAACGTGTTAGTCGTTAGTATGATCTGTGCTCGCTTTAAAGAAAAGTTTTGTAATAATTCGATCATCACTTTATATGCACCAATATGATCCATGATATCAAACTGCTAACAACATCACTGCCGGAAAGTGACATAGTTATAATTGGGAGATTGGAATGCGCGCTTAAGTCATGATCTGCCAATTGGTAAATATGACAGAAGAATCCAAAACGCCAATGAAAAAGACCTTTCCACTGCCGAACAATACAAACTGATATATAGACATAGAAGAAAACATCTAGTCATGTGAAACTCTCTGACATGAAAGAAAACATCTAGTCATGTGAAACTCTCCGAACAACCAACACTTCAACCTAACTATTTATTTTAGTCAGTCGCCTTTGGAAGAATTCGGTACTAGATAATCCTTTTCTGTCGCGCCGCTGAAACTGGTAACCTCTATGGATTAAACCATTTTATGGTTCGAGTCAAGATTCAACGCATACAACTGACAAAGAAACTGACAAAGCATCTCATGATCTTTCAACTACTTCAAACAAAAAGATTTAAAATTACAGCAGTTCGGCGGGATAGAAATAGTTGCTGGAGTTATATGACCTTGAAAATGGAGACAGCTGTATTAATCGATACTAGAAAAGTATTGCGCCTTCTTCATAAATCAGCCATAACTCGAGAAATGATCAGTAAAATGATATGTATCAGTGAAATAACACATAGTAATAATGTACCTATTAGGACTATTAAGGATCGACTCATAAGGTAGAAAGAATAACTTCACCCAAATTTAACCAAGATGTGCCACCTGTTGTCCATGACACAGCTGAATCGCTCCTCGAGCCATATGTTTGCAACTGCGAACTGCCAATAGAAGATCCGTTATCCATTATTAAGTTCCGTTATTACGCTTAAGGCCAATAAAAGGTAGTATCCAGGCTGAACTTCAAATATTGTCCATCATCTTTCATAACGCACCTTCAACAAATGTACTTTCTGATATGAAAGAAAAAAATATTATCAGATGACTGGAGCAAAGTAATTTTGTTCAATTCTGCTTCCGATTCCTAAGAAAGATGAGAGGATATGCTGCGACAATTATCGAGGAAACAGCCTACTAGATGTTTCAGTTTTTGCTTCCCTTTTACTCAATTGACGCAGTATGAGACAGGATGTACTCTAATCAAGCTAAATTCAAACGCTGCTATGCTGACCAGATATTCAGGTTAACCTATGTTGTGTTGCAACAACACTTCAAATAAGGGCAGCTCACTTGTTTCATTGCTTTCGACTCAAATGATAAAACAGCGCTTTGGAGAGTGATGGAATGTGACTGAACTCTTCGATATTGTTCATCATCGTTCCGAATGTACCGAAGGCTAATTAAATATCTAAGGTTTTTTATTAATTCACCATCGGTGGAGGAAGTATTAGAAATCACATATCTCGAATCCACTAATTCCAAATTGCCAAACGAAAGACGAAATTACAACCCGAATAATGGTATGCGTTAAATGCTTTTTTCCATTTAATAAAACCTTTATGGACTCATTGCAAAATCACTATAAAAACAAAAGCCCGCGTCTATGTAGTTGCAATTCGTTCGATCTTATATTATATGGCTGCGAAACCTGGCCACTGAAAATGGAGAATATTAAGAAACCATCTGCCTTTGACCATTTTCATGGCTTTCTAAATCCTGTGATGGATTGATACTTTTTTATAAACGTATAAATAGACTAGCAATATATGGACTTAGATGATGCAGAAAGGAATGGCTTCTATTACTTATACGTTATAATACAACATCGGTACAAAAGAATGGCTTAGTGGGTTGTTGTTCAATTCTGAGTGCCGATGCTCAGATTCCTGAAGAAATAAACATGTACTGTTAGAAAGTACGGCTGATGTTGGCGACTACCTATCGACATACTTCTATCGCCAAGGAACTCCCTGGCATATTTGTCCAGTGCAGCAACTGAGTGAAGCAAGTCTAACCAATAATGGTGAGAGTCCTTAAAAAAACTGTAAGCGATGGTATCAGATCGAATAGCTTGGAAACTCTTACAGCCAGCAAAGCCAGTATAATCAGAAATGATGAAAGCTGTTAGAAAGTGGAAGACAGAAGAACTAGAAGATGCGAAAATAATACAATACAGCTCAATAGGGATATCAACTGAAAGCACTAAAAAGGATGATAAGAAAATATCAGAAAAAAATAGAAAATATCAGAAAAAAAAAGAATTTTATGGTGATATACTCCGATTTGAGGAGAGTTAATCTATCTATCTCTAATCATGCTTTTTAATTATTTTTTTTTTGTTTAAGAATAACATTACTTTGTTTTGCCAAATACAATAATTTTTGTTAAGTCAATTGATCGTGCTGACATATTACTTCCATGTATTGCACGTAAAGCTGATGATATTTGCACGACATATGTCCATAGAATTGATTCCTGCACACCAAGCGGATTCAATCCTCCCAGAGTTGCTACTTTAGATGTTCCTGAACTACTCTTCATTTATAAAAATCACGAAATTCTGCTATTTTACAGAATAATTTAGCGATTAGAAAAATGATTAGAAAAAATTTGATGATTATAAAAAATTTCCGGAACCCATTAGTAATTAATTTTTCAGAAAATGAGAAAAAACAATAATATTTACCATCAGCAAAAGGTGCAGTTATACCATTGGCACGCGATTCAAAATGACGTTCTTTTAGAGTTTCAGATAAGGGATGATAATCGTAAACAAATAACAACGCTACAATAGATCAAAGTAATGTTAAAATTGAATTAAAGATTATATTAATAGTATTTAACCAAAATTAAAGTACACAACAATGATTAAAAAAATATAGAAATGGAAACAAACAGCTATCTCCAAAATGATGTGTCACAATAACATCGCGTAATTGTACAATATTAACGTGGACTAATTTCTTCCAATTATCAGCCAAAGTTAACTGCTTTTGAGAATTTAATCGAAAATCTGCAAATAATCATAAAGTTGAAGAACATTTTATAAAAACAATGGATATATTGGTTTAATTACGCAATTCGAGCTAATATGTTCATTCTTTAAATTATACTTATAAATATGGTACTCAATCCTCAATATTAAATATATCAGGAGATGAGAGGAGAGATGTGATACATTTATTTAATTATGGCAAGACCTATTTTTTTCTCGAAACTTCTAAATTTTTCGACTGATTTCGATCCTGCAATAAGACATGTTTCTTCTTATTTTCCATTTTATTTTCTATCCTTAATTTTTTATCTCTGCTTACAAAAGTAAACCTGTCACATCAAAAATCCGGATGGCTCTATAATTCTATCCCCAAGTGAATATAGTGAAAAAGTCAGATGACCAGATTTTTTTGACCCATGTTCTCCAACGAGATATTCCCAGCTCGATGTCACATGCCAAAAGTATGGAGCCCAGAAAATCAAATAACCTCAAGGCTTGAGGGATGTAATATGCTCGTGATCCAGAGTAATTACCCAAAATCTATCAAAAGAAAAGAGGAACTCGCTTGGCACTCTGCACACGCGGCGAAGAGTCGCCCATAGCTGCCTGGAACGTCAGAAATGCTTATGGACGACTCAAGCGATTACTGTCCACAATCACTTCAAACACCCTGTGGATGTTGTATGCTAGTCGGAAGTGCGATCTTACTTTTGATCTCCAGCAATTATCAAACTTGGTTGAGAGGTGTTAGCTACATATCATTTCAGTGCTTCGGATAACTCGAGGCAAAACTGTATAGCGATTGAAATTGAAAAAGCTCAATCCACTCCGATTGAGTGAAAACCGGTAAACAACTGTATAGCCTATGTGCTCGTTCATAATGGAAGACAATGGAACAAACGATCAGATCACGATACCGCTACGATGAATTCGTAATTGGAAAATATGCTAATGGAAAACGCCTTCTCTTTGCCGAACAGATGAATTTTTTGTTATTAATATATACTTTCAACAACTAGTCCTATTCTCCAAATAGCCAATACTCCACCCAGACTGATTATATGTCAGTTCCAGACAGATAAATAGCTCCTCTCGTGTCGCTGAAACTGATAATTTCTATGGATTAGACCGTGTTATAGCTCAAATTAAGATTCGACTGATAACTCGAGATAAAACTGATAACTCGCAAGAAACAACCTCTCAAGATCTATCAACTATTTCAAACTAAAAGATTCGAGGACAATATAAGCATTTCAAACCGAATTATACTCTACAATATTCAATTATGCGATTAGATGATTCGAAGGATTACAACAGCAACAGGGGGACAAAAATCGCCACTGGAGCGAATAGCTTTGAAAATGGAGAAGGCGGCTCAATTAAGCAATAATCAGAAAGTATTCTGCCTTCTTCATAAAGTAATTATAATTATAACTCGAATTATAACTCGAAAAACAAGCAATTAAATGATACGAGATGGTAATAATTTGCCTATTAAAGCTATTAAGATTCATAAGGTGGAAAGAATTGTTTCAGCCAAATTTAACCAAGATGTGCCATCTGTTGTCCTGGACAGCTGAATAGCCATACAACCACGAATCTCCAGCAGAACAGGATAATATGCTATCCTTAAATTAAAGCCAACAAAACTAGATGGCCCTTCGAGATGGCCCTCAAACCTAGCTTCAAATTTATTTTATCGATTTATTGATTTTGCAGCTGCTTTTGATTCAATTCATAGAATAGCGTTTAGGATATAACACGAGAGTGTTCCAGAAAAAACCATTCGATTCGTAAATGCACTTTACCAGTGTACATCGGCACAGGTCTGTGTAGCTGAAAGTTATATTGAAATGCAAATAATGCTAAAAGTGTCAACTGCAACGAAAATCGGACTCATATTCAATGTGAAATGACAATCTTTTCTATCTTCCTTATCTTATATATTAGAAGCTGATAAAATATTTATATCAATTAATTATCGGTTAAGGAAATGTCTAATCCCAAATGGCTAAGCGAGAGATAAAATTATAACCCGTAGAATAGCTAAAAATGGGTTCTTCCGGTTGGCGAAACCTTTATCGAATCATCGTAAAATCCGTATAAAACCAAAAGGCAGCGTCTATATAGCTGCAATTTACTAGGTCTTGCTATATGGCTGCGATATATAACCATTGAGAGTGGAAGATACTAAAAAATTATTTTCCATTGACAACTCATGTCTAAGGTACATTTTACGGGACCGCCGAACTGAATCTCACATATCTCACAATAATCTCACATGATTGCATCCACTTTCGCTCAAATACCACTTGCATTAACAATACCATATCAGAACATCGTTTTTGATGATTAGGGCACGTTCTTCGTCGTTCACCACATAAACTGACATATTTTGCTATTCGCTATTCGCTGTGATGGATGGCATAAAAAGCGAGGAGGGCCAATGAACATCGATTCAGGAAAGATCGATTTTGAACGTGCAGATGGACCAACGATATATGGACTAGATGGAAAAAGGAATGGTCAGCGATGGTATGTACATATATATATGTATGAACAGCCTGCGGAACCAGCTTAATCAGCAATGGTGATAACTATTAGAAGGAAAAATTGACTTTAAATATTTAGCTAATATTATTTCCAAAATAAAATTCAAGATAAAAATACACAAAAAACATTAATAACATTTTTCCACTAATCGGAAATTCTCCTAAAATCAACAGCCAAGGTGTTATGATATGATAATCCATCCGTATTTTGATAAAGAAGCAACAGCCTTATCACTAACTAATATTGATTGCCATTAATCACTACCAATCATTTTACTAACAAATATAATAAGACATATAAAAATATAAGACATTTTTCTTTTCCAAATATCCTGTACTTTTATACTTATACTTATACTTTTACTTTAAGTATAATCAGGAAAACAATATTACTTCAAAAAAATAACGCTTTAATCTAATTTTTACTTACTATGAATTCTTCGTAAACAATATGGCATTCCATCGCGCACACTTATTGCCTTATAAACCGTGGTTGTATAATTCGGAAATGTGCGTTCACTCTGATTCATCGTTAGAGGTCTTGTTTTTTCCAGCGGAACGATATTTTGGAAATATTCAACTACAGATGGAATATCAAGACAAAGACCAGGTTCAACTACACATTGTATTGCCAACTGACGCTTCAGTAAATCCTTCATAAAATTGCAATTGCAATACCATTCAAAAAAATAAAGGAAATATTTTAAAAATATAAATTATAAAATTAATTCACCATCTTCAATTGGTGGGGAACAAAATACGAAGGATTCTTTGCCTTGAACTTTCCAATGTGAGGTATTGGACCAGTGTAGACAAAACTGCCCATATTTGTCTTTAATAATAATTACAGTAAGAACAGAAGAAATTTCTTGGCACTTGATTAGAAAAATTAGATTATTAATAGGTGATAATACTCTTAAGTACTAAAATTGAATAGTAATATAAAAAAATGAAAAACCAACCACCACAGTCTGACAATCATTAAGAGCTTCTCGCTGTTGCCGATCGGGAGGAATATCCGAAGTTGAAGGATAATAATAAACTGTACCACCGAAAGTTTCATGCTTAAATTACTCTCACTTGTTTTATCGAAAATTATACTCAAAACAGAGGATATCGGGAAAAATCACTTGTCAATGAACGAAAACCATAGCCCTCACGGCAACAATAACGCTAAATTAGTAAAAAATTCTATCTTTGGATGATTCATACATTTACCAAAAAAAATTACTACCATGTATCCAGAAGCCGAACCATTGTCCAGTTGAGACAACTGATTTGTTCGTATTGAATCAGCAACTGATGATGCAGCTAACAATGAACCATTATTGCCTGCTGCAAATGTGTTCCCAATATGTATAAAGATTGAATTTTTCTACAGTTTGTTAAAATTTATTGTTTCCAGTAAAGCTATTAATTAACACCGTAACCCTGGTATCAAAATTAAGTTTCTAGGATATTTGAAAAAAAAGAAGAAATATGTGTGAAACTAAATTAACAGCTGCTTAAGTAAATTAAAAGATGCTAATTATTACAATATAAAAAAAAGTATCAAATTTAAAAAAAATGCAAACTTCAGTAATATCTATATCATATAAAAATTAAAGTTTTTTATATTAATCTTTTTAAATGCTGAAACATCTTTTTTGCTACTTTCTCCAAACTTCGATCTTATTTAATTTAAATTACTAACAATAATTAAGAGAGCGTTGAGAAGATGGGATGGAATAGGAAGGTATCGATAACAATGAATTCATATCCTTTTCATCAGTTATTCCCATATGCGCAAATGAGGGTAAAAAATTGGGAACCTAAAATATTATTCAAAAATTATTCAAAAAAAATCGATAAAGCAATGATCATTATCAAAACTACCTGATTTTTAGATTTGATAAGGCAATTTAAAAAATAACTGAGTTATATACTTCTTTTATTACTATCTATTATTATCAATGTTATTGTTTACTGCTATCTATATTGAAATACAAAAGAACCTATAATTTTATTTTTTTTTTTTTACCTAATTTATTCACTCTCTTAGTCTAAAGACTTGATATGTGGCATTGACTTTTGTCCATATGATGTGCTCCATTTATTCAATATTCTTATTTCCGATTATAACCATTTTATTTTCAACGGATTTTCGGAGAAATTCTATGAAATATAATTTAAGAAATAAAAAGTTTATTTTAAATTAAAAATTTTACCTATCTTTAATTTAAAATAAACTTTTTTCATTTATAATGAAGAAATTAATCAAAATTTTTTTGCAAAAAAAGAGTGCTTACACTGGATATTTGAACCGAATTTTGATTACCAATGTAATTGCTCATAAGCCGATTTTGTGGCAAACCTAAAGAAAAAAAAATTATTACGTTGGTTCATTCCAACATTAAAAGGGCAGACCAATTATCGAATAATAATTATAACTGATGTCATCAAGAAATCCCGCAATATCAGAAACATCGAAAAATATCAAAAAAATTTGATAAAATATAAAATTTCATCTTAATTTCTTCCATCATTTTTTCATTATTGTATTTTCTATTTTTAATTTTCTGGTGTTAATGAGTAAAAGCTCATACTCTACTTATTGGGCTTTTATGAATAGATACGAAACAATAACCATTCCACGATGGCCTATTTAATACAGCGTTATTAGGTTGTAAATACTGAGCAAGACGTGAGCCAACAGGCGGTACCGCAGTTGTTTGTTGCGATAACGAAGTTGAATCAAAGCCTAGAAACAAATCCGGCGTGCCACTTTGCATACTTCAATTCTCTAAAAAGAATATAAGCAATTAAATATATTTTAAAATAAAAATGACAACATCGCACGATTTAAGAAATCTTAAGTCTATAAATTAAATGAAAGACTCAGTCTCCATCGATTCTTTCCTTCTTTATATTTCTCAGCTTTTCGCAAGCAAAAAAATGTGAATATTTATATTTACTTATAAATATCAACGACAAATGAAAAGATAGGAAAAAATTCTCAAATGAACAAAATGTAAAATAATAAATCGTTTGTCTACACACCTATTTTTTCAAATGCAACAACAATCATAAATTCATTCAATTCAAGCCGAGATAGTCGGGAATTTATTATACCTGTAGTTTATGACGTAAAATGTAACATATGCTAGCATAAAATTAAGAATGAAGAATAATTAAGAATGATAATAAAAGTAGGCAAACGTTTATATATACATCCTTGATGTAATGCAATAATAAATGAAGGGGGACTTAGCCAAATGAAGAAATGATTTACAAAAAAATTATTTAAAGATTTATATACAAATCCTGAAAAATTATATTATACCATATTATTATAATGATATCTTGCAAAAAATTTAGAATTTACTATATTATAAAATTAATTATTACAATAAATGATTTTAAATGTCAATTACCTTAGAGAAATTTTCTATAATTGATCAATAACTTAACAAAATTAACTCCTAAGAAATACCTGAGCAATTTTCGTGGACTGACAAAATGATGCATCAAATTACTTGAACGATTTGTATAGAACTATTACATTATTGTAATAGAGCAGAATTTTCATTATTATAATACAATAAATTAGCTTCATAACTAACGAAAAATTTTATGATTATTTAATCAATTTTTTTGATAATTAGCTTCTCGAAAATTAAGTTATTCTGGAAAAAGAATCTACTTAAGTTTCTTTTTCTTTCAATTTCACCTAATTTCATCTCAAAACACAAATAATTATTAAATTACTGAATAGACAATTAGTATTCCTTCCTTATGAGTTCAGTGAAAAATTACAATCAATCGATTAATAATAAATGAGAAACAAAATATAAAGAATTCATTCAATAATTCGATAAAATATTTATTAAGAAAAAATAGCAAAAAAACGATCTATAAAAGGATAAATTAATATTACTGAAAAACAATCCAAAAATAAGTATAATTAATTGAAGTAATCAATCTTTCAAAATGGGATTCAATCATAATTTTTAGATGACACCATTTGTAAAAAAACATCCCTTTCTCACTCCCTGCGGGTGGTAAGGATCATCCTCTCGCCACCTCCTAGAGACCTAGGAGATTGAGGAATCCTAGCTATGTCTAGCAGTGCGCTATTCTGGACAGAGATCTCTAATGTCGTCCCTGGAATCTGTTGAAGTCACTTTTTTAGTTTAGGAATCACAGCCAGCCCTTAGTGCTGTTGCCACTGAGATTATTTTGGTCTGCACCTTCCAATCTCTCAAACCTGACCTTGAAAATAACCTATATCTCCCACAGGAGGTGGAATGAAATTTTTTTCACATAATATAAATTATATATAGCTCAAATATAACAAATTATGCTTAGGTATGGATAAATTACTATTTTAGGTCTAAATATATATATATATTAGCTAGCACCTCCTGGTTAAGTGAAATCCAACTAGCTGTTAATGCGTTTAAAAGCCATTGCCACTTGGCAATAGGAATGCAGGAGGGCACTAATGTTATCCGGATTTCAATCGAAGCTATAGCGGACCATAACATTCGACCAACCCTTTACAACCTAATATAATCGTATTTATATTCATAAATATTTCACACTTAAATAATATATATAGTAATTTGCGCTTAAAATAGTGTGGTTAAACATACTATTTCGATAAAATATTTCCCAGCAATCTAAAATCCTTGAAAGCAAATTTATGAAAAAATGAAAGATCCGTAAAGCCGATGAAAAAAACATCTAAAAACAATTATTGACAATTAAAACAACAATTGCTGCAATTTTGAAAATCAATTCTTTAAAGTAAAATAAAACTTCCCAAAAACTCGGGAAGAAATTTAAGATTTTCAAAGTAAAATGTAAAATGCGAAATTCAAGGAATTCAAAATTTTCTTTTAAACACTTCGAAAGAAATTCTATTGGAAATATATTGAAAATATTAGAAAATAAAGAATCACGCAATTAATTTGATAAAACAAATTTAGCAAAGCATTGTTTATTTTATTAATTGGCAATTATTTTATCAATTATTACTTTATTATTATTATTATTTTACAGAATTTTTAGCGAAAAAAATAAAAAATGAAAGAAAATAAAAAAATTTGGTTCATTTTAGAGGAAATATATTTTTTTCGAGGAAACCAGCCCCGATCAAATTTCATAATTACTAAAGAAAATCGCATGCAACCCACCCAAAACGACGTACAGCAAAGACCCCGCACCCACAACCTTCAAAAACCTTTCTGCATTTCCCCATGCTTCATCGACCATTCGACAGCTTGGCATATGGCCAAGCTCAGCAAATGATCATCAGGTCTTTCAATTTGAATTTGAATTTCGCGCGAAATAAAACCCGCGCCATCTAATTGTTCATTTCGGCGGATCTGTTTTTGTCTCTATCATAAGGTTAACTTAGTGTCTGAATAGACTGGGTGGGAGTGCTAGTGGATGCAGAATTTTGGCCGATCTGACCCTTATTGTGGTTTGGTCGACCTATTTGGTCGCGCCTGGCTGCAGGTTTGGTTAGTTCGGTCCAGTCGAACTTTGGGTTTGGTCTTATTCATCTGGCTGGACCTTTGATTTATTTATTTGGTTTGTAAGCCCATCTTTTTTGAAAATATTTTAGTACTTTTCGCTCATTTGAATCGCGGTAGAATGCTTCGTCTGGTTTTTCTTCTTTTTTCTCTCACCTTTCTATCTTTTAAATAATCCATCGTCTTACAATTATTTTGTCTCCTCTGTCTTTAATCTGATAATCGTCTTTCTTTTCCTCTTGCCTCTTATCATCGCTTTATCAGTGAATTTGAGTCGTTGTGCACCGAAAAACCCCCATAAATTAAACTTAATTAAAATTAACCTTAATTAAAATTAACGAAAGCAAATTTTAGAAATCAAAAATATTTCGGTCTTCTATTATAAAAAAAATTCTCAGTGTATAATGGATGAAAGTAATACGAAAGTAAGAGTTTTTGCTTTTTTAATTTCTATTTTGTTTTAATTCTATTTAACTTATATTCCACACATAGAATAGGGAGATTTGGTGAGCTCGAACATCATCGGTTCAATTCTTCTCCCTTAAGAGATAAATCTATGTTGTAAAAATCTATTACTAAAATATAAAATATAAAATCTCTATCGTTATTTCTTCTCTTTCTTGCGTAAAAAAAAGAAAGAATAAAGTAAAATTGAAAATAATAGGTGAGAATATATAGAATATAGAGAAGGCTTTACAATCTTATGATGACCTTTTTTCTATGTTTTTTAATTTTAATGCAAATACATCGCTTATTTTATTTCGTTAATATTTATTTTTTTATATTTATTTATATATGTCATATATGGATATAGTTATTCAATTTTGATTTCAGAAAATTATGGAACGTGCTCGGCAACGTGAAATAGAAATAAGAAATTGTTGTACATTTGATAGCTCAGGTGCGTTTTTATTTCTATTTCGGGCTATGGTACCAGATAAAATCCTCATTTATTCTACATATTTCGTATTTTTTGTGTAATTTATTTATATAATTTTTACAGATGGAACAAGTTGCTTCAATTGTATCACTCCATCGAAATTTGATAAAAATGTTCCTTCTACTGAATTATTTAAAATGAGTGGTGATGTTGCAAAAGAAGCTCAATATGAACAAGTATTTCAATTTGATTGTGCAGGCTTTACCTTATAAATATTAAACGTTTGCAGCTTTCTAACACAACTTTCTTTTTCTTTCTAATTTTACATTAACAAGTTCATACCTTTTAAAAAAAATTAATTTTTATATTAATTTAATTTGATTGTATAATGAATAAGCACCTCATTTTCTCAACGGAGACTAGATGAGTATTGTTAGTATTTATTACGAATACTCGAAGTAGATTTCACTTGGATAAAAATCCACCTTAAGCATCTGAAATTTGATTGAGCCTCAGATGGCGAGCACCGAAAAAGTTCAAGTAAAGTATTATGCAACATAATTAATTATGCAGATTGGTAGAACGAAAAAATAAGTTGCTGCGTAATCCTGCATGAAGTGAAAAATGTTACGAAATAAGAAATTGGGAGGAAATTCATTTTGAATGTTAAATTTAAATTTGAATATTTATATAAGTATATTTCATTTAAAAGTGCAAAATATTTTAGATCAATACCTCATCAGCTAGGAATTTAAAACAACAAGAAGTAACATCTACACGTAAAGCTCGTTTTGCCGCTCTTTCTGCGAATATAGCAAATTTTGAAGATGAGTTAAAACGACCCTTCGGAGAATCGTATGTGAAAGAATCTTCATCACGTTTTAGAAATAAAGGAGAGGTTCGTTTTTTTTCTGGTTAATTTAAAAAAACGGCAATTAAAATTGTCTGATCTTACTCTTTTTTTTGTAGAGTATTGCAGGTTAATTCTCATCATCACTTCATTCATCATTAAGCGTATTGCTTTTTTATCGATAACGAAAGAAAAGTAACTTTGAATCATAAGAAGAGGGGATATAATAATGATTTGTTGAATCAGCTACATTTGTGCTTTAGATATTTTGTCTTTTTTTATTTCACTTATTATTAATAATATTTAGCGCCATATATAAGGGAAGTTAAGAAGTTAAAGGAAATAAAAAATTTGGTCCTGTATTTTTATTTTCGATTGAGAATGTTCATATTGTACCAGCAAATTTTATTGTTTCAATGAAGTTAAAGTTTTAGATTTGTGACAGCGCTCTTTCCGTTCCATCTTCCTCGCATCTTCCGAATATTTCTTTAATATCTTCCGCCAAAATAAATTTGCCTAATCCAGTGACAGCTGATGATGGAAATCATGAGGGACAAGTTGAGACCAAAGGAGTTTTAACCTCAGTTTCATCTGAATTGCGTTCGAGTTACAAAAATGTAAGATTCGCTTCTCCAATTTGTGATTCTGCTAGCCTATCTTCGGCTCAGTTTTTTTCAAATGTGAGTTCAACTGGCTTTTTTTTTAAATGTATTTTGTTAATCCATTGTATAGAATTATAATCCTTTCGTTTAATTCAAAGTTGTTGTGAGCATAAATGGGGAAAGTGGGAAAGATGGGAAAAAGATTTATCTTTATTTTTAATAACCTCTAAGACTTTTTCATTTCTTTGTATGAAAGATAACAAAAATAATATTATTAACAATATCTGTGTCGTCAATGGAAATCGCAGATATTAATGTAATAATTTCCCATTTTATTTCAATTTAAATTTTATTTTGTGCAGTTCAGAATAATTGGGCAATATCAGTAGATTTCAAAGACCAAAAGAGTCTGTAGCATTAAAAAGATTAAGGGCCTATGTTGTAATTGGTTATTTTTAATTTATGTTGAATTGGCAAGATTTATTGCACCTTTCTAAAGAAAATTGGTGTATCGCTTATTTTAACTCACTTCAGTTTAAATTATTCATTATATGATTTTTAACAATTTAATAATTAATAATTGTTCTTTTAATAATTGTCTAATCATAGATTTTATCTAGAAATCATAGAAATTAATGAATCTTATAGGAATTGATCGCAGAGAATGGTTGCAATATCAATACTTCATCCGTTGCAAGACAAATTAGCCCTCAATATGGGATCCATAAATTTTTTAAAGTATATATTTGAATGTAATTTAATTTCTTTAATGCGATACATATATATAAAAATTCCATCCTCATCTCCATTTTTGATATAGGTCATACTTAACCTCAGATCAAAAGCGAGAGTATAAGGGTCCTATATAATATCTTAGCTAGCAATCCGCTTTTCTGAATGGAGTTTTTTTGATATTTTTGCGCGAATCTTGGAGTCTCTTTCCTAGCTTAATAGTCTAATTGAATGGCTAATACATGATTGTTTATTCTGAAAATCCCATAAGGCCTTTTTTGTGAAATCTCCAATCTGCTCTTGAAAGGGTCTAGCCCGTATATTATTACTGTTACTATAGATATTATGGTAGACAAGGTACTTGGTAATGCCTTTGAGTGTATGTTGTCCAGCTGGCATTTTACATCGTGCTGAATAATCTCTGAGACTTTTCTGCAATGATCTATACCTTTACTTCGATCCTTGCTTCGGTGGATTTGGTGCTTAATATCTGTGTTAGTGCGACTAGTGCAACTAGTGCTTGTGCTTTTAGCTCAGCTTTTTCCCACCACTTGAAAAGATACAGCCTTGATGGACACCGATTCCTATTTCGAAGCATATCAGCTCCTCATATATACAGTTGTGCGCTGATCGAATGCCACTGGAAGGCTTTCTTAGTGTAATCTTAGCTATCTATTGATATGACATTTTATAAAGAATCTTTTGATTGCCATGGTATTTTCTCTTCCTTTGCTTGATCCTTCTTCAAAGTCTGCTTCATTTTTCACCTCATCTCTTGGTGTCATCTTGTGATGTGCTGAATGCTCTAGGTTTCAGTCAGAATGGTGATTCATCCTAAACCACATTTCTTGCTAGTACAATCTTTTTTAATATTGGACCTAGGATGGAAATTTCCGTTAATTGTAAGGATTTTTCGGATCTTCATGTTGGTGGTCTCCATATCTTCGTTTAGCCAACTCATTGCACCAGCAATATATCTTGATAATTTGCAAGATTTACATGTTTGTGGCTTGCATCTTCTTTTTCTGATTGAGGTGATGCTGATATTTAGATATTTTGTCTTCTTCCTTGCCTGCTTTTCGTGGTTCTGACCACTCGTAGTCAGTCTTTACGGATGCTATATGCACCGCGTTGGTAGATGCATCCTATCGCTTTTAATCGTTTTCCTTTACTATCATCTGAATACACTTCTCCATTGTAGAAATGAATGAGCAAGTTAATGTCGCTTAATGTCTTATTCTTTCGTATAACTTGATATCATACATGTAAAGAAGATGGCTGATTGTAATTTTTATTTTTAAATTTATATCCACTTGTGGGTTTCTGGCTGAGAGATTTGGATCTATATATACTAAGGCAATCATCATATTAATATATGCATACATATTGGTAACCACTTATGCAAACTATTTAGTATTGGCTCTCAGTGTCGTCTTCCACAGTCTCATTATCTTCTTAATAAAGGATCCTTTTGATTTTGTAAAGTATTAGACATTATCATATCTTTACGTGGAGCATTGAATCATAGGTTTTTCCACAGTCAGTCCAAACTATGTTCAAGTTGTTCTACCGTGATCTTGAGTCTTGATGCTCTATCTATGAGCAGTTAATATAGTTATAATCTGCTCATATAGTTATAATCTGCTGTAATGCGTGATAAAACTTCCCACAATGTAGAAAGGCAGGTTATTGATCGCTAGTTGGGCAATGTTTTCCCTAACGAAGATATGATCAGTAACGTTCTTCTCTCCAGTCCGAGTGAGAGTCTCCAGGTGTTTCATCTGTGTTGTTTGTGAACGTGTTCTATCAGTTTCTCCGGCCAGTAAGCGTGGATTTTATCCCAGTTAGGTTCCATCTATCTTTTCATATTTTAACTCACTGCTTTATATATGTGGTACTGATCGGTTCCTTCTCTGAGAGGTTGCTGTGGTATATCCTCATATATATATATATATTTATGTGTTTATTTAGAGTATAATTTTTACTTTTTCTTATTTGTTTTTTTGGCTTTGAATTTGAAGTTAAGCTAAATTTTTTTGTGGTACTGATACTGATCTTTTCTAGCGCAAGGAACCGATGGAATTGAAGGTCGATTCTCATTTAGAAAAACAGATGGTTTGTTTTGTATTTTATTTTTTGATGCATTTTTGTCTATTTTTATATTTTTATTTATATATCTATTTTTATTCATTTTTTGATTTGGTTATTTTAAAGGGGTCGATGGATATCAAACGAAAAGTCTCTCTTCCCTTCAGACCTCAGGATGATTCAATTGATTTTATTGATGAAGAATGTGGTAAGTTAATTACGTTTCTCGAAAGAATTCTCGTTTTTTGGATGTAAAATGTTACTTTTTTCCGGCTGATTTTGCCAAAATTGTTTTCTTTTGTTCTGTTATATTTATATTATATTTTAGAAGTTCTGGAAACTATTTATTACATTTTTATTTTAGAATCATTCGTAACTTCTTCGCACAAGCTCATTCATTCACATGGTGGTATAGTTGATGAAATTAAGGATAATGCGGATCGAGCTATTCAAAATATATCTGATGCTATTCCTGCATGTCCAGGCTATACTAAACAAATCACTCACAAGTTTTTGCTTTTTCATTAAAAACTATTGTAAAACATTTTAGGTGTTTAAATATTTTTCATGCATTGGTGGCTAATATTTGCGATTAGCTCAGTCCTTTTTTTCCTGGATTTTTTTAAAAATTTTTTTAAAATTTGCAGTTTGCATTAAGCAAAATTTAGATTCATATTCAGTGCACATTTAGTTATTTATTTTTTATTTCTCCACATTATTGTAATTTTTGTCCAATTTTTTAGAAATTTATTTAAATTTATTTAAAATAATCAATTTCAAGAATTCAGTCCAAATCCAATTTTTTATACTTTTCTTTTTATTGCAGACTTGAAGAACAAACTAAGATGATGAACGCTTCTAAAGAACAGAAGTCAGCTGTTTCGGCGGCAACGCAAATAGTAACGCCGAATCCAACTAAAATCCCTTTAAAATCCATGGAAGTTAGTTAAGTTTTCGTGTTTGAAAGGAATTGTGGAAATGAAATTAAATGTGATCATTTTGCAGATTGGAAATATACAAGCGCGCAACCCTAAAAAATCATCAGTTATTGAAACACCTTTTACAAGCGTTAAAAATCTAAAAAATCGTTGGGAGGTAAGATTTGAGATAAGAGATAAGATTATTAATATGATATTTATCTAAGAATAATTAATCGTCTTAAAGATATCTTCTACTACTGGAACTCCTCTGCATCCGGATCAAAGATCGGATGAATTACTTGAAGCTGCTTTAAGAATGTCTCATTCCGTGATAAAAACGAAATTTTGGAATGCTCGTCCTCAGTCGCATCATACATTAAAGACAAAAAGTATCGTTTTTAGTCGAAAAATTTTTTTCATTTGTCTATTAAAATGTCTATTTTTCTATTAAAATTGGTTTAAGACTTATTCTTTTCATTTTTTTGACAATTTCATTTCGCTATACTATATCGAAGTGCAGTTCAAAGACCTTAGCTTCTCATTTTTTACATGGGTTAAAAATGTTTTGTCAAGAAATATTTATTTATCAAAAAATGTTTAATTTTATTTAAAAAATGTTTAAATGTTTAATGTTTAATGTTATTAATTTTTGTTCCAATTTTAGAAAAAGTTTTTTTTGCAGGTTTAAATTCTTCGATTAATGAAGAGTCATGTTCAAACAGTTATTCTCAATCCGCTGTTTTTTATGCTTCATTTGATGTGGCCTTTTTATCTTAAATTTCTGCCGATTTTGTTATTAAAATTTATTTTAATAACAACATTTAATATTTATTTTACTAAAAAAATTTACTATGAAGTTGAAAAATTTACTATGAAAATTAGCCACAAAATTTTAATGGATAAACGTGTACAAATTCAATTATTTTTTAAAGGATAATGAAAAAGAATTTTCTAAAAGCGATCACGCAAAACTCGAAGTAAAAGGATCGTCAGAGCATTCATGTGAAAAACCAATCGCAGTTGAAGCTAATCGATGTGAAAAAAAAGCAGAAGTAAATAAAGAAAATTTAGAACCGAATAAATTGATCGACGAAGCTTTTAATTTCATTAATTTGGTAATTCCGCTTTGATAAGTAAAAAATATTTAGATAAATGGCTTTTTATAATTTTATAATTTTAATAATTGAAAAAGTAATTTATAATAAAAAAAGGTAATTTTTTCATTAAATAGATATCTTTATAAAATGGATAAGAAGTGATCTCACGTTTAGCATATATGGCTTTGAAATTTTTTGTAGACACTGGACAAAAATATATCATCCATTTCAATTTCATCTGGATTATTTGAAGATAACAAAGCAAGTGAACAATCTTCGGAATGTATGTTTCTTGTTTTTTGTTGCGATGATTATTCCTACATTATATCTTATTTAGTCCTCAATGTTTTAGTCATTAATAGAATATTTTATTTATTTGTGAAAAAGAATGTGAAATGAATTAGAAATGAAAGTTGGCGTATGGCTCTTTTTTTTATTCTCAAATTTTTGATTAAATTATAGTAAACGTTCCTCTTGCTTATTCGGTTTCATTTTATCGTAAAAAGGAAAAAGAAATTCGTGGAACAGCAGAGAATGCAATTGTTTTTGGGTGTGGTTTTTTAATTTTCATTTGAATATTTAAAATATTTAAATTAAATCGCTTATATGACTACAATAACTTTAATTAATTTATAAAAGAAATTATTGTTGAAAGTTTATGTCTTATAGTGAACTTAAATCATCTTCGTCTAATAGTTCCCTTCCATTACCTCCTACTAATCCTGTTCTTGATCAGCGAAACTATGAAAAGGAAAAAGCGCGTATAGAGAAAGCGATTTCTATTCAGCAAGAGCAAATCGTACAAGCATCGCATGCTTTATCGTTTTGTCACCAAACTCAAGAATTTCGCGGAAGTCGAGAGGAGGTATTGGTTTTAAAAATTTTCATTGTTCTTTCTGAATTTCATTTGGAATAAATTTATTTTTTTCCATTTGTATTTTTTTTCTAGCATGCTTCTCAAATTCAGAAACACTTAAAAGTCGATTAAGTCGATTAACTTTTTGGTGGATTTTTGAGGTCGACGCACAAAGAGCACTTTTAATTGCTACTGAAAGTCGTCGAGCTTTGATTTTGGCTCTGGATCACTTAATTCAAGATCGTTCCAGAGGGATTCGAAAACCACTTGATTCTCCTCGTGGCACATTGATCATTAATAATATTTCTGTTAAATTGTTGCGTGATTTTATCAATGGACATATAAATAATAATAGTGAGGTTTTTTTGATCTATTTTCAGAATATAAATAATTTGTTAAAATATTTTATAATGTTGATGAATTTCTCTTTCGCTTTACAAAATTTTAGGTCAATTATATTATTTCATTATATTAATTCGTCATGGTGAAACTATTAGGAATACGATACTATTGACAAGTGATTACGGTCTAAAAAATGGAAGATTAGAATTTCCACATTATATACAATTGAATTCATTGCCTCATGATTTCATTTGTACTTTCGAAATCTATGCCTTGGTACTGATTCCATTTTTAATATATCAGAGATTTAACAAATATTTGTTAAAATATTTTCGTCTTTAATTCGATATGTTTTTGGAATAAATTATAGAATTGCTATTGCTCAATTCGCAATTTAAATTTTGCGCTTTTTAGCGAACGAGACGAGAAGTTCTCGGCCATTACGAAAAATATCATATAAAAAATAGTGGCTCTACGAAGAAAAAACCATCAGTATTGAGTTCAAGTCGGTCTTTTCATTTCGTTTATTTTTTGTTTTGTCATTTAATATTTAAAGTATTTAATACTTTCTGGTATTTTACTATAGTTGGAATTGTCTTTTATTTATATCTGACAGACCTTTTAAATTTAAAAAAATTTGATATACAATCTCAGTTGTAAAAATGATCAATTTTTTTAGCTGCATCTTCACCTGCTGGATCTTCTGTGATCGATCCGTCTTTTCAACGTGTCGGCTATTTAACACTTAGTCTTGAAAGTGTAAAAAGAGACAAATTTCGACTGAATGAAGCACTTTTCCCACTTGATGGCTTAATTGAAATGCATCTTCACTGCTATGCCGAAGGGACGAATGCTGTTGGTTACAGAGGATTTCTGGTTGGATTTTGCAAGATTTTAGAAGATATATTTTAGATGATATTAAAAAATGGATTAAAATCGATTATTTTAAATATAATTTTTAATATTTTAATATTTTTTAAAGATTATCTAGATAAATGGTCTTTTTCGTTTAATAACTTGCATTCATTGCCGGTTTGGCTGGATCCACTGGTGACTGGAGAAGATACGCCATTCTTTAAAGTGACTATCACTCTTTTTGTCCACTATCTAATCCATGTATCGTATCGCTAAGTCTATGCAATTCTTTGATATTGATCCAAATCTTAACAATCAGCCATTCTCATTTTTGATGCCATTAATAACAATCGCAAAATTTAATAAATAGTTTGATGGATGCATCAGTTCCCGTGGTGAGCGATGAATAACATGGCCAAATGGTGGTGTTTTGTGGCGATTCTCTTAATGCAGGTATTCAAGCGAAGATGGATGCTATCCACTTATCCACTTAGTGTCTTATAGATGAAAATGATGAAAAGCAGGTAGATTCCTGATATCTTTCACAGAAGGATTTTGTATTTTACAGATAAATATGAACTTTTGTTTTTGGGTCTGTTTTTACGATGATTCCTGTGAGATTTTGCCAGACGAAAGATGAAAGAAGGCAACTCTGCCTAAGTTTCATCTTTCGCATGTTCTTTAAGTATCGGAGTGGGCTCCGGAATTTGTATAAATTGCTATTTTATCATCATCTGCTATATCACCATCTTTTTCTTATTTGTGTTGATTTGAAGAGCCGTTTTTCACTGATGCTGTCGATACTTAATTTCCTCATTACTATCACTGAAATGGTCAACATCATCAATAATATCGCATAGATAAAAATTTTAGATGGGCAAACACAATTTGCCCAATTTCTACCCAATCGGTATGCATTTCAAAAATCAATTCCCCATAAATAAACATTTTGCGCTGACGTACGCTGAAATGCTTTGATAAATATGATTAATTCTTTGGAACACCATCGTGACATACCGGAGCACTACATTGTTAAACGAATCAAAAGCAACGAAGTCAGTGAAGCAAGTAGGTTTTCGACACTTGAAATAATCTAAAATTCTTCTCAACGTGAAAATTTGGTCATTCCATTACATACCGGCATATAAGATGGATTTGCGACTGGGATTCCGTTCCAAAGCTGTTGTTATTGTTGAAGCCTTTACGTGCTTTAGTATCAGTTTGAAATTTGAAATATGCTAGCACGTTGAATTTTTTCACTTGAGATAATAAGAAAACTTTGGGATAAATTTTGAGCATCAATTTTATTCGAATCATGGTTCTGATCACAGTATGGTCCGACCCTTGGAGATCTTTTGTACGAGAATCTAGCATAATCATTTATTGTTGTTTATTGAAAAAATAGTTAAAATTATAAATAATGAAAATAATGATAAAAAAAGAAAATATGACAATAATTAATAACGTAAAAAAATAAAGAAGAGTTACAATATAGTCAATGTATTACTTACACATAATGAATTCGAAGTTATTTAAATTTATTACTTGTACATAATCAAATGGAAAAGACCAAGATTTTAAACTTCCTGCATGATGTAAATTTTTTAAATAATATAATCTATCTATAAAATAATATAATTTTTTAAATAATAATATCGTAAATGATATTATCATCTTTCTTAAAAGATAGCTGGGGTGATATATCGTTCGGTAATTTATTCCAGTAATTAATAGTACGAATAAAGAAGTCATTAATCCTTAGTTTGTGTTGTCTTTTATAATTAAAATTACAATTAGGAAGGAGGCGTCATATGAAATATTTTTGGAGTCCTTCAATTATTTTACTTAATTTGCGATATCTCGGAGAGTAACAGGTATTGTAGTCAAGAAGAAGCCGAACGAAAGAAAATCTTCAGTTTTGAATCTTTGAGGATTTCTTTACCATGGTTCTGCAGTGAAGATCGAAATCGCGTTTTTCATCCATGATTATTCCAAGATCGGAAATCCTCAAAGATGTGTGAGATAATATAATTAATATAATTAATTAATAAAGATTAGGAATCTTTTAGAATTTATACATAGAACATTTGCTACGCCTTTGAAAAAAAGTAATTTGCCTGTCATATAGCCATTCGGCAATTCTACTGAGGTCATCATGTGGTGGAGATAGGTTATCCACTCTATTATAGGAATAATAAATTTTGCAATCATCAGCATAAAGATAAATGATAAATCCTCAAAGATGTGTGAGATAATATAATCTTCTGATTATATTACCATTAATAAAGATTAGGAATCTTTTAGAATTTATACATAGAACATTTGCTACGCCTTTGAAAAAAAGTGTAATTTGCCTGTCATATAGCCATTCGGCAATTCTACTGAGGTCATCATGTGGTGGAGATAGGTTATCCACTCTATTATAGGAATAATAAATTTTGCAATCATCAGCATAAAGATAAATGATAAAGTTTAGTACCACTTTGGTGATATCATTAATATATAAAAATAAAACAATGGCATATAAATATATAAATGTATAATTAATATATAAAAACAATTTAATTGCCTTGAGGTACGCCTTTTATAGGTGTCTTCGGCACCTACAGATTGGTGACGATCTTTTATGCGATCTAACTCCCAGTTATACAAGTCCCCGGTAACGCCATAACTATTAAGGGTGACCAACAATTTTGCGCGGGAAATAATATCAAAAGCTTTCGCTAAATCAATGTAGGCAACTGTTTTTTCTTTATTTTATTTATTTACTGTTCAAGATTTGTCAATATTTGTTAAGTAGATTTTTTGGTACAAAAGCCATGCTGATAGGTGGATATTAAATCATTGGTATCAAGATAAATAAGCAGCTTGTTACAGATTTCGAGTATTTTGCTACCGATGCATGTTAGGCCAATAGGCCTGTAATTAGAAGGAGCACAAATACTTTCTTTTTTATGAATGGGAATTACATGATATAATTTCCAAATTTTGGGAGTAAAGCCAGACTTCATAATATCCTTATAAATTAGAAATAGGGGAAGACTTGGATTGATTGCATAATTTTTATAAATTTGTTGAATATTATCG